CAGCCTCAACTGAACGCAACGAGGAAAGACTGGATGAGATCATTCAAGATGACAGGCATGTGACTGTGGAGACAATAGCCTGAAAACTTGGAATAGGGCACAGTGCAGTACAGGAGATGATTGAAAGCTTGGGCTATGGGAAAGACTTTGCTCACTGGGTCCCGCGGTTATCGATTGAAGACCACAAAGGTCAGCGAAAAGCCATCACCTCAGAACTGCTGCAGAGATATTGACATGAAGGCAATAATTTTTTGCTCTGTATTGTGACAGGTGACAAATGCTGGTTTCACCATTTCGAGCCTGAAATGAAATGGCAGAGTATGGAATGGCACCATTTGAATTCTCCATCAAAAAAGAAGGCAAAGACAGTGCCATCAGCTGCAAAGGTGATGGGCACAGTCTTCTGGGATGCAGAAAGGTTTATTCTGGCCAAATTCCTGGAACCTGGGCAAACCATCAATGCTGCTCATTATGTCCTGATGCTGCACAAGCTCTGTCGTGCATTGCGCGGTAAACGTCCGGGATGAAACATCATCATTCTGCATGACAACACTCGCCCCCATGCCGCTCGTTTCACACTGGAAGCAATTGCAATGATGGGGTTGGGAAGTTCTTCCACACCCTTCCTATAGCCCTGATCTGGCACCCTCCAACTATCATCTTTTCAGATTTGTGAAGGATCAGCTGTGTGGACAACGTTTTGAGACAAGGGAGGCAATTCAGAAAGCAGTGCATCAGTGTCTTCAGATGGCTGGAACGGAATTTTACAGAAGGGGAATTTTCAAACTCTAAGAACGCTGGGAGAAATGTGTAAAAAAAGTGGCAATTATGTGGAAAAAAAAAAGACAGGCCTGTAGATTGAGGTGGTGTATTTGGGTTGTCAATAATAAAGCATGTTACTTTACAAAAAATTGTTGCTCATGACTTTCAGTATGACCCTCATATAAAAATCCCCCAACTGTTCCTTTTAAATATTAAATTATTTGTACATTTGTAACAAGGCATGATATAATTAACCTGAAAAAATGAGAGACCATTTACAACAAGGTGAAGAATTTCCACCACAATTCTGCAAGCTCAACCCCAACTGTAGTATTAGAAGTCATGAACCAAACAGATAACAATCTGATTAAGTACAGAGAATTCCACTTCAAGTAAAAAGAAAATCAACATTTTTGTTAGCATAGAAGATATTTTATGGAGGCATAACAGGATAAGGTAAAGTCCTGTGATTCATTAAAATAATGCCATAAAGATGTATGGGGAAGTGGAAGTATAGCCCCCGCACATTCTTAACTTTGGAAAAAGATGCTTTTCCCAGGTGAAAGAAGCCTTAGCAGTCACTGGACAGGAGGTTGGGAGCACCCATAGTCACTCTAGAGGCTGTAGAGAAGACAAAAATCTCTTATGCCTGCTGGGAATTGAACCACAATTCCCAGGTTGTCCAGTCTGCGGCCTGGTCACTATACTGAGCCACTCCAGCTCTTCAACAGAGTGCAAGTAAAATTCTGAACTTTCTACATAACAGAAACAAACCTAAGAGTCTTCAAGTGGTTACTACCAATTTAAAATATTATCATTCCCCAATGAAAGAATCCCTTATACCACTGTTTCCCAAATGATGTTATATAAAGTCCCGGGGTTCTGCAGTGAAAATAAGGGCTCCACAAGAAAATTCAATTACAACACAAAAGAAATGGCAATTTAAATATTATTATTACAAAATGTCACTAAACGTAATTTTTATTTTGGAGTCTCTTTAGATTAGAAACATCACTTCAAAGGGAGTAAATTAATAAAATAAAATGTGTTTCCCTCAGAGGAAAACACTTTCCATTATCTAGCAGAGAGAAATGTGACTGAAACATTGGAAGCATGCTTTTGTTGTGGTGGAGACATTTAATTTTATTTAAGTAAAAAATAAGACACGAGTGCCTTACAAAGAATGTAGAAACTTATACCATTATCTGTGTAAGATTTAACAGGTAGATTCCATTCTGAATTCAGAGCACTCTTACATCTGTTATATCCAATATACTCCATTATCAAACCACATACAAAAGGGTGTAGATTTGTGGTTCTCACATCGGCAGTTATGAAGAGTTCTGTTTTCTGGGATATGTAGTCTGCTGCCTACATTTCGGAGGAACATGTCGTCTCCATCTTCAAGGATGAAGAATAAGTCAAGCAAGCAAGCAATCTCATTACCTGCTTCAGACTTGATTCTTGCTTGGGTTATTCTTCAACTCTGAAGATGGAGGCAACACACTGACTTTCAACAGGCTACACAGTGTTACATCCCAGAAGATAGGACTCTTCAAACATAATGTAAAGAATTTATGAAAGAAAAGAGAAAAACCACTATTTTCATTCAAAATTGCAAATACATGGCATAATAGTTTTTAGGCTTCATTGTTCATATATATGATCTTGTTTATAAATATGTGCAATTAAGTAATACATTGATCTCACATCCTTCTTTAACATTTATTTACTATTATTCTTACCTAATTGTTGTCTAGAATTTAGCATCATATACGTAAGGTTTTTATTATGGGTTCTGTAAAAATGTTTTGAGTGTGAAATGGTTCAATGGTTGAATGAAATTATGAAAAACTGCCTTAAACCAAGACCCAATCCAAAAACAAAGTGTTCCTTCATAACTTCTTCACTTATTGCATGGAGGAGGCTTATTCCCCTGCCAATCTTCATTCCACCAATTGCTCCACAATCACCCTCACCTATCATCTGGGGCTGGTACAAGAGGACAGAAGTGGCCGCAGTACAAGGGACTTAGTCCCACCCCACTAGCAATAAAAAAACTCAGCTGGTTAATAAATTCTTTCCTTTCATGGGATTTGAGTGTTAATTATGATGTCCACAAAAGTCACTATGCTGAGCCAGTTCAATACAATAGATGTCACATTTCTCCAAGATGAATTTTTAATACTATACTTCCAAATGATCTCATCCCTTGAAGTTTTCTGACCAGAAATGTGACCTGCATAGCTTACTCCCCCCGCAACATGCCTCACTCATGTCATCCTTGCTGATTTAATCGCTCTAAGAATATGAAGTCAGGAGATGTGCAAGGCATGTAGCATGAGTGAGAAGAGGGATGCATATAGGAGTTTGGCAGGAAAGCCATCAGGAAGACCAAGACATAGGTGGGTGGATAATATTAAAATTGATCTTAGAGAGATAGGATGGGGTGGTATGGACTGGACTGATCTGGATCAGAATAGGGGCCAGCGGAGGGCTCTTGTGAACACAGTAATGAACCTTCGGTTTCCATGAAATGTTGGGAAGTTCTTGAGCAGCTGCACAAGTGGCAACTTCTCAAGAATGGCTCAGCTCCATGAAGTTAGTTAGTTAGTTAGCGGCCTCCGTAGTCTAGAGGTAACGGTCCCACCTCATGACTCGTAGTACGCGGGTTCAAATACCCGGCGGAGGTCGTGGAATTTTTAAGGGCGGAAAAATTCAGGGATTAAGTCCTCCGGGAGGGACTTTAAGCCGTGGGTCCCGTGTCGTAGCTTTATGGCACGTAAAAAAACCTATCTCCAAAGGAGGTCACTGAGCCAAAATTACGGACGTTTCCCACCCAACAGCAGTCTCTAATACCTCTGGTAGATGGGGGAAGCATTATAGATACCTCTCAGCTAGTAGAGCCGGTCTCGCTGGCTGGGCGGGACTGATGGTAAGCACCAGTACCGGTAGGATATAGAGACTGGTAGAAATCATAGAGGGAAGCACAATGGACCAATACAGGTCTAAGTGCATGGGGAAACCCACCCTCTCCAATAACTAACTAACTAGTTAGTTAGTTAGTTAGTTAGTTAGTTAGTTAGTTAGCAGCAACAGGTAAACAAAGGAAACTGAAAATATCCTTGTTCTGTAATCTTCTCCATTCTATTACTGCTTCTTAGGCCCAAAAATATTCTGTCAAAACTCTGTTGTCATAAACCCTCAATCTATGGTCCTCCAAGGCTGAACTTCACATATATATATTGTAACATGGATGGTGCAACAGGAAGTAGGGGTCACGTGAACTCTGTGTTTCCGCGAGTGACGTCAAATACCCCCACTCCTTCCCTCACTATGCAATGCTCAGTAAACACCCCTCCCCGCTAGGCTGTGATGTCATGCAACAGGAAAGTCCCACTTCTGACACCAAATTTTCATATCTTGGGTATTTGTAACATGACAAATAACTTCACACCATCTTGGATGTAGCAAATTCATTGTACAATCACTCTTACACTTACACAATTTACAGTGTCCCAATTACTGCCATCTGCAGTAATCACTTCCTAGGTTCAAATGTCTTGAATCCATACACTCGATACAACTTAACAACTCGTGGCTGTTGGACTTCCACTCATCTCTTCGAAGGCTGGAAACCGACTGCTAATGTTCAACTCCAGCAAATGCTAGACTGCAACTGCACTCGGCGACTGAACTCCTTGGGCATTCCAGTTTCTCTTATAAAATATCAGCCGGAAAGCGGAAAATGCACCTTGCTTCCTTGTTGCGTAATCGCTGTGTTTACCAATTGCCTAGCAATAGTCGCTACACAGACTCACCTGTTGTGTGACGTCACAGCCTAGAGGAGAGGGGTGTTTACCAAGCGTTGCATAGTGATGGAAGGAGTGGGGGTATGTGACATCACTCACAGAAACGCAGAGCTCATGTGACCCCTACTTCCTGTTGCACCATCCATGTTACAATATATATATAAATAGATAAAATTATGTAATTATGTTTTATGCTTCAGTGTTTTCAAACAAGAGAACGGAATCTTCAAGATAGGCATCAGCAGTAAATAAATGATTCTTTAGCACCCTTTGTGAAAAATTTTAATAAAAACATGGGCACTAAATTAATATAACATGTTAGAACATAATTCTGTGAAGCTGCTGGTTTAGAACTAAATATGTTTACTCCAGAAATTTTATTGAGCTACAGGTTAATATGTTAAGAGACTAACTGGCAATACTGACCTCCGGTGACGTTTAAGAAGATCCTGTCGATGAAAACCAAGGCCACAAGTCTCACAGTGGAACTCTCCAAACCGATCATCACCCGTATATGGACCAGAAATATCCGGCTCATCCCGACTTCTTCCAGCATGCTTTGTGCGTGAATGCTCCTTCAAGAGCCCAAGATCCCAGAACATCTCCCCACATGTGTTGCATTCAAATGGGCTGTCTCCAGCATGAACCCTTGCATGTGAAGCAAGTGCTTTCTCACGTGCAAAACCTACACCACAGTGCTGACAAACATACGGCCGACTTTCATCAATAACTGGCCAACGAGGCATGGCAGGTTCTTGTGGCTCCATGCTGGGAGTAGAAGTAGGAGGTGGTTGTGACAATAATTTCACATCTTCATCCACATAACTGTAACTTCCACTACTACTGTTCCCAAGCTTTTTACGCAACAAGGCATTGCTATAGTTGGATCTTTTGAAATCTTTAGAGTTGAGGCTGTCATCCTCCTCCAAATAACTGCCATCTTGTGCTGCAGCAGTAAGATTTTTCCGTTTCTTTGGTGCTGCTGACTGTGCTTTCTTTCTCCTCCCCTTCAGTGAAGCAGTATTGTTATTCCTGTTTGAGTTATTCACTGGAACATCATCCTCATCATCATCACTACCAAGATGTCCAGGTGCATATGCATGGATTTTCATATGGTTCATAAGGTCACATTTGCGAAGATATCGAGCCCCACAGAGGTTGCACCCATACGGACGATCTGTCTGGTGGGCAAACATGTGGTTCATCAGATTTGCTTTCTTACGAAATCGCCGGCTGCAGAAATCACAGGGATATGGGCGCATTGTTGTGTACGCATCTTGATCCTGTGGTAATGGTATCTCGACTTCGTCAGGTTCTGTTGTGGGGTTGCATGCCACCTTTAGTTCCATCAAGTGCTGACTGTATAAAAACAAGCAAAACTAATTATATTTAGGCATTACAAAACCTAACAAATGGAAATTAAACATATTCCAAAACAACATATTTTTGTTTCCCTTTTTTGAAATCCTGCAATGTAGCTTCCAAAATTACAAGACTATGATAACATTTAGTCTGGTTAACTGATTCATGGCTTAACTCCACACAGATGCTAAGGTTATACACAGCACTGTCAACTCACAAAAGAATTAAAACAAGTATAATACATTTCTACGAAAATTAATACAACTTGGATATTGCATATACAAAGCAGTAGTGGTAACCTCAAACTCCCCCCTCCATATGTATCAGAATCTTAGCACATTAACCTTTCAAATAAATGACCTTCTTGAAATTTTAAATAAAACTTAGCAGCCCTCCCATAAGACAAAACTTACACTAGGTAGTAAAACTAAATGCAAAACTTTACACAAATTTTTATTTAATAAAATAATTATACAACAAGATGCTGAAAGTCTCTAAATTATAACCAAAGTATACGGCACAAATAATTTAAATGCTAAAGAATATTAGCATCTGCTTAAAAATCATTCATAGCCTCCATTTAGCTTACTCTTGTATCAGAAGTATAGATTAGAAAGACTTATTAGAGCAAAGAATAAGCTCATGGATGCATAGTTTTCACAGAAAATTACTTTTATTTTGCTTTGATATTCATACCAATATCTGCCATTTGAGAACAGGAGGAATGTCGGGGGATCAACACCCTAAATAGGCAGCAGCACACTACATTGCTGTGGCACTGGTAGTGCAGTTGGATGAGGCACTGTGCTAAAAGCCAGAAGGTTGTGGGTTCAATCTTGATGAGGTCACTGGATTTTTCAAATTGATCTAATCATTCCTGTGGCCTGGGATTGACTCAGCCTCTATCACGAATAAGTACCAGGAATCTACCTGGAGGTACAGGTCTGGCAGACACATAAGGCTGACAAACTGTCTGCTATCTGTGAGCTGACTGTCTACAAAATGTGGGAGCTTCAGTATCTCACGAACCTATGTTACAGGGAGAGCTGTTACACCACATTGCCTTCTATTACAGCATTTACCCACTGTCTATAATTTAAAATAAAAAAGTCCTAAAATGAATGAGAGAAGAAAAGAGGGACAATCAAAAGGCATAAAAACATATTAGGAAACATGGTGAATCCAAATGCCAATTAGAAAAACAATGTTTGGTTTTGGTTCCCCAGAAATCAATTCATTCTATTCATTGTTTAACCTGTTCAACCTGCCACAGTTTATGATACAATGTTCTAGTGGTTACTTTTCAGTAATAACTGGTTGCTACCTTTTCATGACAAGGAGTATGATACAGTCAGAGTATGGATTCCAAAAGGAATTATCAACTGAAGATCCTGTATATAAATTAACCAATGTAATACAGGATGTTCAATCATCGAGGAAACTGGGGAAGTAGCGTCAGTGAGATACAATATTTCTCACAGATTTCTGGTGTAACTGCCGATAGCAGAATGAGTCATCGGCGCTGATAAACGCACACACTCTCACTAGCATAGAGTGGATGGATCATTTCTCTGTGACTATTCCCTCGCATCAGTTTCCATACATGCACACATTTATAAGAATAACTGACTGACCAACAGTCACAATGTGACTTTGACTTTGATTTTTCTTTGACATTCTAGTGAGAGGTGTTAACACGAAAGGACCGACTGTGGAACAACTTGTTCAACATTTTGTGTTATAGTTACGTTGAATTGTGGTTACGTCATTGAGTAGTAAAGTGACGTCACAAGAATATGCCTTGACACCAGTGTTGAAGACAGATTTATACCACCGCCTGAAACCGAACCCCAATCTTCCAGTCGTCCAGCCTGTGGCCTAGATAATATACTGACTGAGTCATGTCAGCTCTGTTACAGTAATATACAAATATTCTGATTATGCTTCTTCATCAATAACATTTATTTAAATATTATGAAAAATATTTATTTACTTTAACATACAATCTCTTGTTGTTTTATGAATTTATTTAAGAATGTATTTATTACCATAATTTTTAGTACAATTCTGAGAGGAGTTATTTATTTGATTTACTGTTGATGCATGTCAGATGTCTCTATGGTTTTTCTTTTTATGTGTGAGTGATGTAACATACATTATTTGATACTGTATTGTTTATTGATAATATCCATTCATATGCATTGTTTTTATAAACTGGATAATTTTATAAGATAAATGGTTAATATGTTTTCATCTAGTATTTAAGTGTTGTTGTTGTCATATTTTATTATGTTAAGTGACTGTGTTGTCTATGTTTTACATCAGGCACGTCCGTGTCAATCGCAGGACGATTGTGGTCGATCTCATAGGCCTATAACGAAATTATACGTGAAAAGCATGTAAATTCACTTGTAATATAATATGATTATATTCAGATTTTGAAGGGAAAATACGTATTAGTCATTCATATTTTTCTGTTCTTATGTGGCTTACATGAAAATTGTTTTACACTTGTGTTAAGTGAACTGTGGGGAAGTCCCTACTCTATCCTTATCACATGAACTCTTATTTCATCACTCGTCATCAGCCACGTGTGTTCTGATGCGAGAGTGATCAACAGAACGTGTGATTCACTTCATTCCCTCCCTCCAGTCAACTGTGAATCCCCATTCGTTGAACTAGTAACTGAGACTTATTATTATATTAGCTGTTAGTGGAGATTTGTCACCTTACTGTGCATTAAACAAATATAGAGTTTGGGGATGAGCTCAGTGTAATCAAAGGGACAGTAAGTGCTCTGCTCACATTATTTTATTAATTTCAAAAGTGTCTGTGTGCGTGTGCATGTGTCAAATAAAACAATTACCTCAATATAGAGGAAAATGCAACGCCTCAGTATCCTTGCCAGAAAAAGTGTAATCTGGAACGTCATTATAATGCTTACCATAGCAATTAGTATGATGCTGATTTTCCACCCAAAAGTGAAATTCGTAAACATAAGCTCAAAGAACTTAAATCGAAATTAGGTGCTCAACAACAGTTGATGGCAAAACCAAGGTCACTTTCTAACAATGCTACCAAATCATCCTTCAAGGTCAGAAATCTGATCGTTAAAAAATGCAAACCTTTCAGTGAAGGGGAATTTGTAAAAGAGTGTTTTCTTGAAATAGGTGATAATCTTTTTGAAGGATTTAAAAATAAGAAAGAGATCATAGCTACTATTCAAGATCTTCAATTATCAAGGAACACCACTGTGTGGCAAATATAAATGATCTGTGTGGAAACATGACTGAACAGTTGTTGAAAGATGTTTCCAAGTGTGTTACTTTCTCCCTCCAACTGGATGAATCTACAGACATCAGGGACACAGACCAGTTACTAGTTACTTTTACAACAAATATCATGTGTCATGTTATTTTTACCAACATTTTTGCTTAAAGTGAGGTATGACGATAGGAGGAGGTGGTAGATCACTGGCAGTTTTGACACTAAAAAGTCGATGACAAACTGCTTGAAGTCGGACATGCCTGTTTTATATTATGTTATTTTTACTTGTTCCAGTGATTGTTTGGAACATCTGTTTTGATTTTTGACACATTATAATGTGGAACAAGTAAAAATAACATAATATAAAATATATAATTATATATCCAGTGGTGTGTGAACTTGTTTCTCACCCTGTAATTGGATCTACTTGAATATTAGGATAAATTAAATTAAATTACCATGGGAAATATCCAGAATTTTCATAACAAGGATAATGGGAAGACGGAACAGGACAGAGAGCCACAGTAAGGCAGACAGCTATTTTCCTCTTCACAATGCCTATGATCCCTGACTGAGCTTTATCTCCTCTCCCTCCCCCATGAACCTGAATGACCATTTCCTTGCAGCCTGCCTGTCCAATCAACTAGTTCCTCATCATACACATTTCAATATGTGGACAGAGGCTGCAGGTTCAGCCAAAATGTTGGCATCTGCCCAAAGGACTATATGGTGTCACAACACAGATAATTGTGATCTGAAAAGTCAACACTGCATTCATTAAGAAAATAAAAAAAGGAGTATGACAAATTCATTGTATTCTTGCTATCATTCAGTTTAGAATCTCCAGAATATTTTGTCTTCCCATTCACTGTCTATCTGTGTAAAGAATACATTTTCAAAATAATAATTTTATCCATTGTTTCGTATGGTTGTAAATCCTGGTCTCTCATACTAGAGGGAGAATATAGGCTTGGGTGCTTTGAGAACAGGTACTCATAAGAAAATGTGGTCTTAAGAGATATGAAGTAACAGAAGACTGGTGAAAATTGCATGAGGAGCTTCATTATTTATGCTCCTCACAAAATATTATTAAGACATTCATATCAAAAAGAATCTGATAGGTGAGCGATTTTGCATGCATGGGAGAGAAGAGAAATACAATGTACAAAGTTTTGGTCAGAACACTTGAAGCACAAATCATTTGGAAGACCTATGAACAGACAGGATAATATGGATCTTAAACAAACAGGATAGGTGGCCGGTATTGATTAATCTGACTTAGAATATAGATCAGTGGTGGGCTCTTGTAAACATGGTTATAAAGCTTCATAGTCCATAAACTGGAATATATTTGAGTAGATGAGCAATTATTTGCTTCTCAAGGACTCTGCTTCATAGAGTCAACTGGTCATGTGGAACAGATTGTGACTGTATTTTGAAAAATCTTAAGGATATGTCTTATCAGCACTAAAATAAAAATAATTAAAAGCTGGTACTTTTAACTCAGTTCTGTAGGTTACACATGGTCACAAAAATTCACTGAAAAAAAAAGTGTTTCTTGAGAACATGTATGCAGGCTGCTTGGACATGGAACGACTCATATAATTTCATTCGAGACAGTAGTGCCTTTAGATACTAGAAATACTAGAACTCAAGATTTTCCTACCTTTCTTCATCTAATGGCTGTCCATTATCCCATGTTTCACTTATCACTTCTTCCTCAGTAACTTGGATATCCAAAAAATCCTGTTCAGGGAAATACTCCACTATTTCATTATCCTGTTGCTGAGGCACACTGGAGATGACAACGATATTAGGAAACATCACACAGTCATTTCCTACACCACAAACTACTTCACCATCTGCTGCACCTGGAGTTCCCCAGTTAGCATTATTGGAACTATGTACCATATCTGGCACCTCTGTTCCTTCAGATGACTGCGCCATTTCATATGTGTGTGATCTGTGTTTTCGACATTATCTGTAATATTAATGATCATGCTGAAGGTTAGCACAAAACTGTTCACACTCTTACATGGTATCTAATAATTCAACAAAAATCGAATCAGCAGTGAGAAGTTAGGCATGACAGAAACACTTCTCAAGCATTACCAAACTCAGAAAATAAATGCATTAACCTTTATCACATGTTTTAATGGCCACACACCCAGAACATCCTTTTACTCATTTTCATTATTTCTAGATTTTCAAAAATACTATCACTTTAACATCAACTTCAACTCATTTTACCAATACGTATATTATGTATGTTTGTTGAGCAGAATACTTCAAATCAACAGAAACCTAACACAACAAACATTTTTCAGAAGTCTGTCGTATATTCTTCCGTTTTTTCTTTAACTATTTCGAATATATGCTCTATCAATATTAACCTCTCCGATCAACAATTCAACATAAACTCGCCATTAATTACTACGACATACAAAATTCGTTCTTGTATAAATTACTTTACGCTATAATCATTGGCCTCAATAAATGGTACGTCCCAAGTATACCACAAGGGTGGTTCAGCAGGATTACACTACAATGAAGTTATTCCTAACCTTTGTTTACCGAATATGGGAACTGAGTGACTCCATTTGGTACTTGTTTAACCTAAGCTGAAAACGAAGGCACTGAGATAGTAACGGCGCACATAATTCACCTCAATAAGATAGCCATAACAATAAAATAAGAACACGAAAATTCCATGCTATTATATGACACAATTATCCAATTAACAATATAACTTAATGTGCTTCAAAACATACAAACCTAACCAAATTTTACCGTGAACAGCGTCAGCTTTCCATTGTTTTTGTGAACACCATTCAACTATCTTCACAGAGTTCGCCAGACGTGTTGCATTCAGTAATCAGTGTCTACTTAATTAGGTTTCATGATACAGAACCTTGACGTATAATGTATATAGAAAAATCAACTCCTCCAATTTCTAATATGCATAGAGCCGTATTTGCCTATTGCTTGAGTACAGACGACAATTAGGGCAGGCACATACCACGGAAAGTGGCAACCGCAATTCAGAGAATCGTTATCAGCCTGAGTTGATCACATGTTAGTAAACAGAGCAGCACATATTGAGGAAACGGCTACGCAACTCGCGGAAAACTAAATTTCAAGGCAACGGAGCATGCGAGTCTTGTCACAATTGTGTTGCCGTGTGGTTTCTTAGTATCAACTGTGCTCTGACGCGCTTCAGTGATTCGTTTGTTTGTTAATACATATTTTCAATGGTTTAATCCTATTGTGTGTCACCGTCAACACAGCAAATAGGTATTCAGTTTTATTTTGATCGTATAAAGATCGGGCATATAAGACCATCATCAGGCAGTTGTACGTATAGGCATTGAAATATCGATATGGATCCTTATTGGTGCAAAACGTCGTGTTATATATTCATTCATTCATTTATTGTATATTCCATAAATCCATATACATAGATATAGAACCAGTCACATAGTTAATATAGTACAATACAATTATAAATATATATGTACAGCTTAAATCATTATAATAGATAAAAAACATGTGTTAAATTTACAGTCTTAACATCACTATACATAAAATTATGCAATATTAAAATTGTTTATGTTATTATCCTTATTTCTAGGCAAATTTGTTACTAAAGTATTCATCACATGTATAAAAAGAGTTTTGCAATAAAAATGTTGTCAACTGAATTTTAAAAATTTTCAAGTCATTAGACATAGATTTGATTTTTGGTGGCAATGATTAAAGATCTTTACCCCCATGTAACATATTCCTGACATAAAACTCTTGCCTCAAGTTTATGTTATAATAAAGTAGCAAATACATAAATAAGATAAAAGACAAATGTAAAGGTATATCGTACACCAAATTATAATGTGCTGAAATGCTATAAAATATTAAAAGTATATTATATATTAAAAATGTTAAAAATGTAAAAAGTTTTTTGATGATAGGTTAAGAATTGTATGCCAACTTAAATTTCTTAAGTTTCACTGATACAATGTAGAAAATTGGGCATGTATGTTGTTTGTAGGTCTTATTGTAGAAGCTTTCTACTGTGGGGTCGTTACTAATGTTCACCACATGCGCTTGCTGTTTGCCCTGATTCGCCCTCACTGTTCGTTACACCGCGAGTGTGCCGGCAGATTTTCGCTCCTCTGTAGTAGGCGGCAGCCGAGTTTGTTGGCCGATCGCAGTGCAGTAGTTGCCGGATGTTGCCTGGTCTCTGTGTGGCAGTTGCCGGAAGTCGCCTGGTCACAGAGCATGGTTGCTGGAAGACGTTTGGTCGCGGAGCACAGTCGCGTTGCAACTGATGGTCAGTCAGTCTGTCTGTCTTGGTGTCAAGCACCAGCTGGGGCTCATGACCAGATATTTCTTTTGAATGAAAGTTACTGTCTTGTCCATGTGTAGCGCCCCCTCTGACGAGAGGTCGGGTCTGTCATTTGTTAAGTCAGTCTGTATTTACAATGTACAATACACACTTATTTCTTATTTAAATGTACAATATATACACGGCCTCTGCCAGTCCAGGCTAGGTACAGCAGATTATGCCCTTATATATATATATATATTTATTTCCTAGTAGTATTAGCTACCACGGCAGTCTAGTCACTTGAACGGTCGTATGCCTGACCACCGCCAAGTTTAAGCCTCTTATACTGATGATTGCGAAGTCAAAGTCAAAGTCATGTTATAACTGACGGTCAGTTAGTCTGTCTTGGTGTCGAGCCCCAGCTGGGGCTCATGACCAGATGTTTTCTTCTTTGTGAAAGTTGCTGTCCTGTCCATTTGGGGCGCCCTCTCTGACGAGAGGTNACAGACCGGTGTGCGCCTTGGAAAATTGCCAATCGTGCGGAGAAATTGCGAGCTTTGGGCTTCGCCTTTTATACCATGCGTGATGGAAGAGCGAAACTTGCAGTTGCGATTGTGAGCGCTGATTGGCTAGAGAGCGAGTGCTGTATAAATATGAGAGCTGACAGCAATGTGCAGCATCGACACCAAGACAGACTGGATTATGGTGACGGTTTTTTTTTTTTTTTTAGTAGACACANGCGATGGATGTGCTGTAGTGTGCGGTTGGAAAGTGGTGGAATTTACATTCGGAGGTTCATCGACTGATTGTCAGTTCGACTATTGGTGGTGTGCGATCAGTGCAAAGGAGATATTTGCTGGTAGTTATGCATGCTCTTACTGATCAGCTCTGAAATTTTGCAGTCCTTGTTTGTAAAAATTTTTTAAGATTTTGCTTGAGGCTTGTGTTTCGTGCCATGCCAGACATGGCGGGCACCTCGGTGCCTGGCTACCATGCATACTGGGCAAAAGAAGAGCCTCACTATAGGCAGAATACAAGGAAAACGTAAAATATCCTGAAGCAGATGAACATTACAGGAGACTGTTTAAAATCATTTGTGACATTGAGGATGTGGCCAGCTTCACACCCGCCACAATTGGGGAAAGTGTCGAGTGGGCGGCAATAGTAAATGCCACTGAAGAAAACAGAGAGAGCTACTGCAAGGCTCTCACGGGCAAGAACTGTCCTATTCAGTGACTTCAGTGATTGAGGCTAGCTCCTTCTAACGGACCCAACAGAATAGGTGTTTTCCTTCACCTGAGGACAGAAACAGATCCAGTTTCCAAAACGTCGTGTTTTTATTAGTTATCTTAAAAACCAGGACAGTGGATAGAGTCCAAAAACCCAATATATCAGAAAGAACAATGTTCTGTATTTCATTAGTGAAGGTGTGAAACCGATTGAAGTTCATCGAAGGATGAAGGTTCAGTATGGTTATCCATGCTTGTCACAGCAGCAGGCATACGAGTGGAGTAGGAAATTCAGAAATAGTGTGACATCTGTGGCAGATGCTTCTCGCCCGGGTCAGGCATACAGAGTTGTGACCCCTGAGTCTATTGCAGCAGTTGAAGCCCTAGTGATGGAGAATTGCTGAGTGTCGGTGGATGATATAGCCAAAGTTCTTAACATGAGTCACAGATCAGCACACCATGTCATTCATGATGTGCTCCAGTTTCACAAAGTGTCTGCAAGGTGGGGGCCACAGCAGCTGACTCCAGAATTCAAACGACGTGTTCACATGTGTGAAGAACTTCTGCAGTGCCTTGAAGCAGAAGGTGATGGCTTCCTTTGGAGAATCGTTACTGGTGATGAAACTTGGATGTACTACCACCAACCGGAAACAAAGAGAACGAGCAAGGAATGGAATATTCCTCATCACCAAAACCCAAGAAGTTCCAGACACAGCCATCTGCAGGGAAGATTATGCTGACTCTTTTGGGATGAACGATGCGTACTCTTGGAGCACTACACGCCTGGGGAAACACTATCACCAGTGCCTCATATTCAGATCTCTTGAAGAATCATCTTTGACCTGCAGTCAGATCAAAGCGATGTGGACTTTTGACTAGAGGTGTCCTTTTGCAACATGACAATGCTCAGTCCCATACTACCCGTGCAACAGTTGCAGCAGTCCAAGACTTGCACTTTGAGTGTCTTCCACATCTGCCATACTCACCAGACCTAACCCCAAGTGATTACCACATGTTTGGGCCACTCAAAGAGGTGATGGGAGGAAAGAGGTTCCGTTCTGATGAAGAGGTACAGCAGGCAGTGCATGAGTGATTGCGCAGACAACCACAAGATATTTTTTCTAGAGGAATCCATACACTTTGTAAACACTGGAGGGCCTGTATTGAACGAAATGGAGACTACGTAGAAAAATGATATAGTTGGGTACCGCTTTCATTTGACTCACCCCTGTATATCAGTCACAAAAGATATTCTGTGTTCTGTATGTGCACATCTTGCTGACCTCTGAAGATGCCCATTACAACATGGTCAGATACATCTGGCTGCAGCAGAAAACCTAGAGAGAAGTGAATTGATTAAACGGGCTTTTGACTTTGGAACTGGAGGAAAACAAATAGACATGTTACATGTACACTCACATCTTATTTCAGTTCAACACATATTCTCATACATTTTCAGATATGGACACAACAAATATAATATTCATTATTTACATATATGATGATGATTTATATGATAACTTGGCACCTATAATATTTTAATTAACACCTACATTTCTTTCACAGCCATCCAGACAATCTGCCTGATCACTTCTTTCTTTGTTTTCACTCCGTCTCAGCTTGAGCTGACAAGTTCAGCCCCAATGGAAAACTGTTGTTTCAAACTCATGTTAAATATAAAACATATTGGCACATAATATATTCATAATAGTAAAACTTTCACTTTGAAAATTAAAAGTTAGTGATATCACAAAGAACTACATGTGTTCGATGTCTGCCCTCAACTGAAATGTACACGTATTCAGTTATGTTTATTCTTTGGAAGGTAGCACCATTTGGACCCTTCCTTCACACTTGCTGTGTGGTCTGTTACCCTTACCATCAACTGTAGGTACATGGCAACACATATCACATAAAGGTAACTGAAACATTTTGAAATTTTCAAATCAGTGTAATTTATATATATGAAAAAGACATCCTACATTCAAATTGCTGATGGGTAAAAGTCTGCCTTACAGTTTGAATATAAAAGCTGTCACAACTGTATCATCAAAAGCACAAATCAGTGAAAAAACAGTGATCATGCTTCCTCATATATGCTTAACAGATCACATTGTACGATCATTTTCATGAAGATACCAACTATGCAGTTTTACTTAAGGAGATGGTCTCTCTAATACCTCTGGTAGATGGGGGAAGCATTATAGATACCTCTCAGCTAGCAGAGCCGGTCTCGCTGGCTGGGCAGGACTGATGGTAAGCACCAGTACCGGTAGGATATAGAGACTGGTAGAAATCATAGAGGGAAGCACAATGGACCAATACAGGTCTCAGTGCATGGGGAAACCCACCCTCTCCAATAACTTACTAACTAATGAGATGGTCTCCATAAACTGCTATAATTTAATGATAATTGTTACAGCTGTTTTCAAGGAAATCATAATTTTGTGTTTGGGGGCCTGTATTTTTGGAGTTAGAATGTCCATATTTTATTGTGCACTGACATACAATGGATAAACTCATTAACACCATAAATGAACTAAATTTCTAAACTATTGAGGTGCCCATACATATAAACTCAAGGACAGCACTCCAGAAACCATATCTTTGTATTCAAGGGGGCTGAATATGTGTAAATATATCCAAATATCAAGATCAGTTTTCTCATGATAACAAACTTTCCCATACTATGTATATGAGAAAGTGAAAACAAATGGTAATCTTTAACATTCACAGAATTAATAATACAATATGTGTCGCACAGTCATCCTTAAGCAGCCAGCAGTTATTCAGGCTTTCAAAAAACTTTCTATTATAGATTCCATTACAGAAGCATAGCAGGGAGAGATTCACAGAAGTTTCAACAGTCATAACCCTTTACATGCCATATATCGACTAGACAGGCTCTGGGTACCACTAAAGCTGAAGAAATTTGCTCATTGGTGATCAATTACCACAGAATTTCTGTCAACATGTGGCATCAATGTGATGTACTGATGCTTAGAGAAAAGGAAAGGCCTTTTGTACAAAATATTTCTCTTGCTGAATCATGGAGCAGCCCTAGAACTCTTAGTAGGCAGTTCTGTGGCAGGGCTTGGCAGTCAAAGGGTCAAATAAGAGAAGAACATTTACGATAGATAAGATGTAAGATGTAAGACATGAATTTGCTCATCACATTGGCACGCCTTAACATATACAGTTAACAGTTACAGTGGTCTTGTAAACACCAGTGGAGCATCACTGCGTGCTCTTCAAACTACAAGAGATTTCTTCTCTTGAGATGTTAATACCGTGTTCAAAAATAAACAGGATGGTTTTTAGAAAATGGACAAGACGATGGATAATGTCCAAAAACATAATACTTGTAGCAATATACCATCGTCACGAACTTTCAGATCTTGTTTGCCATACAGAATGCTGAAAAGTCAACAAATGTTTCAGAGGTACATATAGGCTCTGTCTTCAGGGTAAAAAAAAATAAGCAAAGCAAGAAACCAGAATGAAGGAGGTAGCAGAGCCAAGCTCTGCTTGCTGCCTGTCATGAGGGCCATGAAGCAGATGGCACAGCCAACCTCTGCTTGTCACATGATTCGTGCAGCTTTATTCCTTGGATTATTCTCTGAGCCTGAAGGCAGAGCGAGAATGTTCCTCTGAAATGTAACCCAACAGACTTACATGGTGTTATATACCAGAAGTAAAACTTCATAACCATTGCTGCAAGAAACTCAAATCCTACAGAGGTCATATACTTTCACAGGGAAGTGCACCTCTTGTGGCCTCGGTTTATGACATACCAGTCTGTTTAGCCTAACTTAGGTGTCCTCTAAAATTGCACACAAATGTTTACCTTACTGTCTTCATATTACATATTGTCAGTATTAGTAAGACTATGGCAGAAATGAAATAGTGAACTGCAGAATTTATATTTTGAAACAATACACCTAAGTCAGAATTGTCACTTTGATGCAATTAAAATGTATTGATTGAGTTCAGACAGTAAACAACCACAATTAAGGAGAAACCTCAATTCTCCTATCCCTTTCAACACATACTTAGCTAGCAAAAACATCGTTTATTATAACAAATAAATTGGATTTCATTTGTATTCATGAACTGACAAGCCAAATAGCTTCATGTAGACTGTGAAGGGTTCCGACAATGGTGTATAACACTCAGAATTACTGGTATTCTATAAAGCTACTTTGCTAGTTTTTCGACTACTGGATGATGGACAAAGTCCAAGAACCTCATAATTCCAAGTGCAAACAGCTTCAGTTATTAAAGGAAATCAAAAGAATATTTTCAGTTCTTGTTTATAGCATAGAAAGGGTTAATAATATGCCAGTACAACATGCAGCATCACTGCACTTCCCAGTTTCTTTCTTTTCAGATATATTATTATCGTGGGGCATATGAAGTCAATGACAAGGCACCCAAACAACAAAAATTTGAATCTGAAATGAGGGAAACCATAGCGATGTTTCTATAGCTTCAGCAGTTAGTACTGATAGTTCACAGTTTTGATTCTTAGAAAAAAAAGTGCATCTCTTTTCCTTCTGATATTTACAGAATACACTTACAATAGCATCTGCTTAAAATATGTAACTATCATGGACATGTGCAGTATGGTATACAGTAAAAAGTGACAACAGGACCACATAAAGAAATGTCACATGGTGAGACTTACATTACAAAATATGCATGCACTTGCTCGTTATCTCTCTCCACTTTGTAATGGAGCCATACACAGATTGAAAAACAGGTCATTATGAAGAGTATGATCTGGGTTATTATGCCACGTAGTTCAGCAGAAGTCCACCTATGTTCCTCAAAAATCTATGTAGATTTCTACTAACTACATAGTGTTACAGCCCAGATCTTACCCTTCACAGTCACCACTGTGAGAACCTCAAATCCAACACAACAGCAAGGTTGGTCTCCATAGCCTTCTGTAATTAAACTGCATACAGGTTCATTGAAGAACTGATGGCAGATTCATTCATATGAACTGCATGACTTTCCACATATCAGGGGGATTTCTTCCTGATATCTTTTCATGATCAAGAGGCCCTGAGGTAAACAATGCAGAGGAGTCTGGGAATGGCAGATCACACCAAAGTTACTGTTTAGAAGGTAACAATGACAGTTGTCATAGCAGAAGAGGTAACCTAATAGGTTTTCATCAAATTTAGTGACGTTAAAACTGATTCCCTTTGGCGGTAATGAATCAGAATTGTAAATGAGAGAAAACAAAAGTGAGTAGGATGCAAGGCCATTTCAGATTGTTGTCCTGGGCAGATGCTTATACAATTTAGCTATCATTCTGGGGCCACACACAACTTTGGTTGTGTGATAATTCTTCTCTGTCATGCAACATTAACTCATTTGTTTAAGACATCTTTCAGCCTTCACGCAGCCATCATTAAGTATACTAATTGTATGACATCGTTTTCACTGTATTTTGCTCATGTTGAGAGAAGCTTAATTAATTATTATTAACTAATGCTTGAATTAATGAAAAGACTGGCATTATCAATTAAATCCTACATTATTTCTCAAAAACTGCTGCAACCTATTGTATACATTGTGTCTCAGCACTGTCTTGGTATTATCTCTTCATGGTCTTTGTTTTATGGGGTGTTTGTGGTTGACGCATGGAGACTTTATGGAAATAACATCTTCATTCTGATACAGCTATATTGAGACACAATATGCACAGTGGGTTACAAAAAAATGTTCAAGCTCCAAGAAATAACATTTGGACTATTAACACTATGATGCACAATAGATCACTGTGGTCATGGTGCAAAGGGCCAAGAAGGCCCACCCCTTATACATTCATTCATTAACACATTCACTCCCACATTCGACCAGTGGTCAGATAAGCATTCCCGTATGTAATTATGGTATCTGACTTAGGGCAGACAGCAACATGTGCAAACAGATTCCTGTCTGTCATAGTTCATGAGTAGAGGCATTTCTGGATTTTGCTAATCAATGAATGCATTAAAAGTATGACATTTAAAAACCCTGGGCTGGGTATTTAAATTGCCCACTGAGAGGCCAGTAGCAAACTTGTTAACACCAGTATTTTAACTAAGACATTAATTAAGCTATTCTTAAAATAATCAAAATACAGTGACACAACTCACATCACAGAATTGGCACATTTGATGACGGCCATGTGACGCAGAAACATGATGTGAACAAAGTGGTGAATGCAACACGGAGAACAACAATGAAAGCTGCAGAAAAATATGGTCTACATAATAAAATTAACTATTTACTGCAACAGGACGCTGAAATATAATATTAGGGACTTAAAATTCAATTATATTTTGGCCATACTAATGAAGTTACATCACAAAATCTTGTGTCTCCATCGCTGCCACAGCCAGTGACCAGTGAACCCTTCCTCAGACTGCACAACGCTGTACCTGCCAGTGGATCTATTTTCTGATTAAGTGACCCTGATGCACACATCACACGATGCTCTCTTTTTCTGACTGCAGATCACCATAGCCATGGCCATGAATCCCTTTCCTCAGAGAAGCATCATTAGCACGTAGTCCATTGCCACTGAAGAGATCAGCCAGCCAGCTACGAAGAGACCCCCGTGCTAATGCTGCTTTTTTGCCTCCTTCTCCTGCCACTACAACTGCTGAATCTGACCCTGGAACTTCTTCAAGTGAATGCCATCGTTTGGCTGGCTTGAAATCTGGGAATGCTTCTTGCTGTACGATATGAAAATTGTTAATGTCATTTCCCAAGAGTGGTGCCCGCACATCTTCAGCACTAACGTCTCCTCTAGCAGGAAGTATGTCACCATTAGGATGATTATTATTTATAAGGTGTCTACTGTCAATGGACGCAGGAAATTTACCCCCACTGCTGCCCACACAGTTTTCCAGTGAATGTGAGCTCCTCTTTGGGATCTGAAGGGTCAGTCGAGAGGATGGGTTCAAATGTCCATCAGGAAATGGATCCAGTGACCGGAACTCTCGTATTACTCGGTGATGTCTTGGTGGAGATAAGTGCTCCAGGGAAGTACTTTCTGCTGCACTGGCATCCAGAGTGGTCCGTGATGCAACTGAAGTGGGGGTATCAGCTGGTGGGGGAGGCGATGCAGGAACACGTAAACGTCCTCCACGTGTTGCTGGGCTGGAGTTGTGAAGGGAGGATGTGCTGTCTTGAGCATCTGTTCCTCCAGTACCCCGTGGGACACTGGACTGGCGACGACTGCCTCCGCATATCGATGCCTGTCTAGAGTCTGCATTCAGTTTAGGGCTTCGTCGAGGTCGGCAAAACAATGGTGGGAGTTCTGCAAGATCAACCTGCAAGTAAGATTTAACAGTTACAGCTTCATACAATACTGACAGATATATTATCTTCTATCTGGGGAATGTGGTAGCATAGTTGATTGAGGCATTATGCTGCAAGCTGGAAGGTTGAAAATTCAATTCCCGATGAGGTCACTGGATTTTTCAATTGACCTAACCCTTCCAGCCACAATGTGACCCTGGGGTTGACTCAGCCTCTAACAAAAACGAGTACCAGGGATTTTCCTGGGAGTAGAGGGCAGCTGGCACATAAGGCTGACCTCACCACTGACTGTCTAGAAAATGTGGGGGCCTTGATGTCTCACAACCCTATGGGCCTCCAGAGCCTTTACCTTGTCTTCTATCTGTGCTTCAAGAGACAGGCCATTTAAATTCCCATAATGGCAGCAGGCCGGAGTTAATTTAAATGCCCACCATTGTAGAGTGTTAAAAATTGTAAGCATGTTACTGAAAATGCTGTGATTTCTACAATTTTTGTGATAAACAAACGAAATAAACGCTGCTTTTATCTAGAAAGAATATAGAATCAGATATTGTAATTTACAGATTTTAAAATCTGTAAAAATTGTTACACTGATTCCAAAAAAGAAATTTTCCCAGTTTCGAGCGTCTGTCCACAAATATGCATACAGTTTCTGCACAAAACGTTTCTGCAGTATAAATGCATGCTGCTGACATCCTGTCTTACTATGTCTTACCTGGCAAAAGGGGTGGAAGTTTATGTTTGTACTGCACATTCTCCAGTCATGTCCGAACATTTCTTTATGCACGAGTGTGGTCGGAGTCTTATCGTACTATGTCCTTCAGAAACTCTGACTGTGTACATCTTGGACTAGCCACACAGAGGTACTGTTCTCGGAATAGCCCCGCATTTCCCCCTTGCTTCCTCGCCACTTTCAGAGTCGTCTGTACCGCATTCTGAATCGGTGTCATTTATCAGCTGCCTCTCAATTTCGGCTTCTTCCATGCGAAATGAGGCCATGGTGGATAGTTGAAATTGCGATGTTTTATAAGCGTTACTATTAGAGGAGGCCACTCGACATCACTGGCCGACTTCCTCTAATACGAGACTGAGGTGTCGTGTCTGCTCTTCGCGTGGGAAATGGAGTTACATCCGGACAAAGTGCATGAATTGCGACGTCGGACTCTGAATTCAGTTAGATGATGCAGGAGGGAAGACTGTCTACTTATAAAACGGGTGCCCAAAAATAATGTAAGTAGAACAAGAATTCCTGTCTTAAAATTACATTTTAAAACACTGTGTGCACGCATGGACTGCACATACCCATACGGTGTCACTAGGCTCTTAAAGGCTATACTTCTGTGAGGGGTTGTCCTAATAATTGCTCCTCTCTTTCAGAATTCTGAAATAGCATGTTTACTTATGAGTGGAATGTGGAGACAGCGTTTTCTTCAGGTCCTCAAACTCCCCTCTCCCCCACGGTTATTTTCCTACTCAACTTTAACCAAATGACTGCTGTTAAGGAACAATGTATTAAAAACAATGATGGGGTTTCGGGGTCTTTGTCACAAAATACGCAAAAGGCATAACACCGGATGTTGTACCTTTACATTCCTCCAAAATAAACTGTTTCATGAGCAGCCATCAGCAAGACTGCACCACCACTGCACATCTTGGTGCATATTTTCTGGGAAGATTGGCAAGGGTGGCTAAATTGTGTGGCCACCTAGAAGCCCTGATTTGACACCATTTGATTTTTTCTTTTGGAGCTATGTAAAGAATTATGTTTATTTGGACAGAATTTGAGACCTGTATCATTTGGAAGCAAGAACAACAGAAGCTGCTGAGCACATAACAGCTAGCTACAGCATGTATGACAGAAGTAGAACAGCAACTGGACATATGCATGGTCATAAATGGTGGACATGTTGAAATGTACTAATTATGTTCAAAAGTATTTGAGGTACACTTTAAAATAAAATATTAATCCCTTGAATATGTTTATCATTTTCTAAATTTTGACTCTTGGAACATCATTTTTTTGGTCAAACTTGGCATGTAAGGGGCTGAATAAGATACACAAGTCAATGAAATTAATAACTGGAGAACAGTCAGGTTGCCTGTAGTTCAGAAAAAATGAACAGGCATTTGAAAAAGCCCAATGTATCATGGGTACTGGGCAAGAAAGAAACCTGTCTTCATGAGATATTCACTAGACAGGAAATCCAGAGTTTTGAATGTAAGAGAAAGAGAATTAACAAAGTATAAGTTTGATTAAGCGGAGGTACAAGAGGTCTGGTGGAACAAGGATGGCACTAAACCAGCAGATATGTGCATTTCTTTATGGAAATGGAAATCAGAATAAATTAGAGACACAATTTTTCATACATATGGGAAAATTAGCAGTTAACACTTTGCGGACCGCGCACCCTTTAAAAGGTTTTTCACTTTTAAACATGGCGGACCGTTTGCGTGTTACCAGGTTTTTAAAACACGATAAGTTGCAACACACTATACATTGCTCTGGCGCCACCTACATTGCACGTAACCGCCTGCAGATGCGTGATAAGACTCTGGAATGTTTAGTTAGCAGTCAGTAACTTGACCTCGCTGTTTACTTAACAAACTATAAAGGAAAATGCTTTGCCTTCTTCAAGCTGTGTGTATCAGCCAGTAGCTAGTGGGGAGAATGGATCAAGAACAAATTCTCCTCCAATGACCTAGCTGACCTGCCTTGTGAGACGCGTAGTAACGGATTAATTGTCATTCAGACAGTGACGGTGGACAACAAAAATTGTGGCCACAGACAGTAAAAGTGACAGTAGCTCCAACGATAATGTGGGTAATAACATTGCGCGTAGTAACATTGTGGGGAAATCTATTAAAAAAAAACTAAACCCTGATTCAAAATTGAGATACAAATCATTTCTGATGAATGTGGCAAAGGCCTGGGCTACAGTCCAGATGGTGGCAGCAGAACCAGGGTCACACAAAGACTTAGTACGACCAGGCCCATCAACTCCCAGGACCCCCCAGGGCGACTCTTGAGTGATATGCGGAAAAATACCTTCGTGAAAATTGTGAAGAGTGAACATTCCAAGGGGAAGAATACTTCTAGGCAATGCCGTGTTTGCACAGTTCACAAAAAAAGGAGTATGTCTACATTTGCAAGTTCTGTGTAATGCCACTTCACAAAGGGGAAAGTTTCCAAAAATATCACACCCTCAAGCACTTCTAGGAGCATTGGTAAGTGTTCTCCAAAAATTTTAGTTCAAAAAATTAATTAGGAGATTTTATATTAATTTTTAAAGTGAACAGTGCACAAGTTAGGGTAGTATGTTTAAAAATGCCTGTCCCCAGGGTGATTTAAATATTTAAGTCACCGGTCCACGAAGTGTTAAGATGGTAAGAGTTTGTAATTAATTGGATGTACATAATACTAAGACAGTGCTGGTCTGATATTTTTCAAAATGTACATGCCTCAGATGAAGGTAAGACAGCTTTTATGAGGACCCACAGTGTGCATTCAATCAATTCCCTCTAAGTATCACATCAAGATCTCAATGAAAGAGTAAATTTCAGCAGACTACCACACAAAAGCAGATTCTTTTGAGATACGAATACAGAAGCAAATGTTAGGATATGTCAATGCAGGAGTAAGCATTCAGGGTACATGCCCTGAATACATTTTAATTAAAAATTTTGAAAAAGAAAGAACAGACATCTTATAGACATTTTAACTTGAATTAAAGTTTTAAAAAGTGCTAATTTAAAAATCAAATCGACGCGTGTAGATTAACAAAGATTTTATACAATTAGAAAGACTGGTGATTTTAAATTTTAACAAGCAGTGTAACAGCTACGTGAGTGATACACACCTGATGATGGCCATTTAGGGCCGAAACATGTAGTGTGGAGGAGGAAAAAGAAGCAAAAACTACAATAAAATTGTTGCACTTAAGACGGTATTTGTCCATATATATTGTGTGAGTGTAACCGGATGCTGAAATATAATAATATTAATTTTTATTGGGCTTAAACATACTTCACGTTTCTGGATGGCTTTATCTGTTGCTCCCACCAGCCAGAAAGTGTTCACTGTTCCTTTGCCCTTCATCTGGATTGGACCTCTCTCTTCCATGACATAACCCCCAATCTTGTCTAGTGCATCTCTGCACTGTGGACTGATGTGGATCTTAAGGGGTTCCCCATTTGATTCCATGCGACTGGCAGTGTTCACTGTATCTCCAAACAGACAATAGCGAGGCATGGTGAGCCCAACCACACCAGCTACTACTGGTCCTGTGTGGATGCCAATTCGAAGCTTCAGAACTTCATTGGGGCGGTGTGCAATACAATGGTGACGAACACCTTCTAATAAATCTAATGACATCGATGCTATTTCACCAGCATGCCGGTCGCCATTCCTAATGGGAAGACCAGAGACCTGAAAACAGACCAGTTATCAGCTGAAACAGCCAAAAAACAGTAATTCTTACAAAGAAAAAACACAATGTTAACGTTGAATAATCAAACAATAAACATGTGAGTTTTAGTAATTAGACTCACATGTGATGCAATCACCTATAGCCACATGTCACTCAGGAAAACTTTACTGACAAAATACAGATAAAAATACATGGAATTTTGGGAATGTGACAGATTTTTCATAACACTGAGGCATTTACTCCAAACTGTCAGAAAATCAGTTCACCACAATGATGTGTGATCACCTGGGAACATAAAGTTGTTATGATGTAAGTCTGATGTTCATGTACCTTCACCATGCATCTGCACTTATTGGAATTTAATCTGTATTTTATAAGCCAACTTTCAGTCACTAGAATTTCATCAGCAATAAAGGTTATATAGATGATACTTATGAGCACAACATGCATACTGTTCACTAATTCTTCTTTTTAACTTCATAACACTGTCAATATCTGGGGCCATATAACATTGAATGGTACAATGTTTGGTGAATAATGAACTGGGCAGGATGTGTAAGGAAGTGGTGGTCCCCCAATTAAGGTAATACCCTGGCATTTGCCTAGGACTGGGTAAAAACAAAAACCTCACTATAACCACTGTCCCAGGCAAGATTAAAACACAGCACCTCAAGTATATAAGTTCAGAATATTATTGCTTGAGTCATCCTAATCAGTACTACAATTATATAATTAAGCTGTATCAACATGTGGCTACTAGGAGGTTAATTCTGCATTTCTCTTGATTATGGGCTTGGTTGTGGTTTTATAAATAAGAGAATATAATTTATATAGTCATGGCATGCAATGGATATGACTATTTAATACCACCAAGTATACGTGGTACTTTTCACATACGAATGATAGGAGACAAATTAATTCTAGACAATGAGACATTACATGTAGGTAGTCTATTGACACACATATTTCATGATTCTGACTTACTATGCATCAGCTGATATGTAAAAACCTCTGAGAATCCTCTCCTCATGCTGCTGATACTGCCCCAATACTCTGACAGTAGAGCTCAAGTTGAATATTGTTAAAGATTAGGTAATTTAGGATATTCTCTTATGATAAGTTTATGATGTATATGGTTTGTCTGCTTTCGTTAGTGTAGGGAAATTAAGATGGATGGATTGAGCATGTAGCCTGGATGAGGAAAATGGGAAGTGCAGAACTTTGGTTGGGAAAATATTTTATATATACACTTACTTGGAAAATTGTGAAGAAAATATTCAATTGGAGTTTGCAGAAAAATGTTGTGACGATGTAAACTGATGAAGGAAAAAAGTGAATTGCAGGATTTAGTATTACTCACTCATTCACTTCCTGTCTAACTTAAAACTGTTTACAATCTCTCTTTAATTTAAAATAAAATTAAAATCACATCAATTGCTACATGTTTTGGCCTTACTTGGCCATCTTCAGGCAACTGTTCACCTACTGAAACCACTGCACTGTACTAGGTCTTAAATCAATAATTTCCATCCTACTGCATATTATTGTTCACACTAAAAATGTGTTTAAGAATTACACTCTCTCTCCGTTTGGTGTCATTTTCCTTTTGCAGTATCCATGTTTGTGCTCCTTTAGTATATAGTATATATAACGCAAGCACGCACGCACACACACACACATAAGGAAGTCAAAAATTATCTGCACTCTTGTTTTCTAATTTATATACACAAAAGTAGGGGTTGAACAAGTACATAATTTTTGTACATAGTCTCCTTCCTTTTTGATACACTTGGTCCAGTGGTCCACAAGCTTGTGTATTCCCTCCAAGAAGAAGGGTTTTGGTTGGTCGCCCAACCATCTCCTTCCTTGTTGATGCGCTTGGTCCAGCAGTCCACAAGCTTGTGTATTCTCTCCAAGAAGAATGTTTTCGGTTGGTCATGCAACCATTTATGCACTGCTTCCCGCACTTCTTTGTCCATAGAAAACTGATGACCTCGTAAAGCATCTTTGAGCAGTCCAAAGAGATGATAGTCGGAAGGGACGAGATCTGGGCTGTAAGCAGGGTGTTCCAGCACCTCAAAACCCAGATGGTTAATGGTTTCAACTGTCTGGCTGTCCATGTGTGGGTGTGCATTGTCATGCAACAACAACACTTTCTTCAACAATAGGCCTCGGTGTTTGGTGCAAATTTCTGGCTTCAGATTGTTGGCAAGCAAATCACTGTATCTTGTACTGTTCACTGTACACCCTTTTTCCAGGTAGCCTTCCAATATAGGCCCTTTTGAGTCCAAAAAGAACTGTTAGCATCACCTTTCCAGCAGTAGATTGAGTCTTTAATTTCTTCTTTGTTGGTGATCCTGGGTGTTTCCATGCCATACTCTGGCTTTTGGATTCTGGCTCATAGTGATGGACCCACGTTTCATCTCCTGTGACTATTCTGCCCAAAAATTATTTGCCTTCTTTGTTGTAACAGTCGAGTAAGCATTGGCAGATCTCAACACGTTTGTGCTTGTGCTCTGCGGTAAGCTCTCTTGGTACCCATCTCGCACAGACTTTATGGATGCTGAGCTTGTCATGGATGATTCGATAGGCAGAAACATGAATAATCTGCAGAGAACACACTACCTCATCAATGGTAACTTGCTGGCTTGCCAGTACCATCTCTCGAGCTTACTTCTGTACAGTAGAGCACTGATTGCATATTGTGTTGAAAGCCTCCAATGAATTTCAGCCCCTGACACATCTTCCGACCAGAGAATTCGGATCACTGTTCTTTGTTACTCCTTCGTGCACACTGCTAGCAGAGTGGCCATGTTGACACTATCACAGCACCAAGGAAAATGATGCAATCAAGGTCAAACTTTGGTCACGTGACCACAGCAGTACCAACTCTCAGCATGCATGCGCAGAAGGCAGTGTGACAAACCTGATGTATTATGGCGAAAGTGCGGATAATTTCTGACTTTTCCTCATTATGTTCTCATTAGTTGGGTGTATATACCGTGTACAAGGGACAGAACGGAGAGAGAGTTTTATCCTCAAACACATTTTAGTGTGACTAACAATATGCAATAGCATGGAAATATACTGACCTCGGACCTAGTGCAGTGTAATGGTTTCAAAAAGTGAACAAATGCCTGAAGATGGCCAAGTAAGACCAAAACATGTAACAATTGATGTGATTTTAATGTTATTTTAAATTAAAGAGAATGTAAACAGTTTTAAGTTGCATTAAAGACAGGTGAATGAGTGAGTGATATTTCAATGCAACAGGATGCTAATATTTAATATTATGGAGTTAGCATTAACCTGATTTATTACCAAAACCTTAGCCATTTATTTAGAATATTTTATCAAGGAATGAAAAGTGAGTGATTTCGTTTGTAGATTATTTAATGAAATAATATAAGATGGAAGAAAAGTTACATTGACTGGTAAATATTAACCAAAAGTTCTATGCAACACTATTATACTTTTCAAAGACACCACTCAGTTTCATTAAGGGAAATCTTAAAATAAAACGAGACTCACCACCATGTAAGCATCACCGATTGTTTCTACTTTGTACACATCATACCCCTTGATGATCCTGTCAAACAATGTGTACAGGTCATTCAAGAAATTCACCACCTGTGATAACAAAGATGCAAAGTTACTGCTAAGATTTTGGACAACGCTGGATTTCAGGTTCTCAGGGTGGTAAAGGTTATGGCCTTCTGGGTTGCAACACCATGTAGTTCAGAAAGCCTGGCATTTAGGAGGAACATTACCTCCATCTTCAGGGTCAAAGAGTAAGCCAAAACAAGAAAGCAGGAGATGGAAGTGGCAAGTTCAGCTTCTTCATTCTGAACTCAGCCTGCTGCCTGCTTGCTTGGCCTGCTTTTTTGACTCTGAAGATGGAGGTGATGTTCCTCAATGGGCTCTCTCTGAACTGCATGGCGTTAATCCACAGAAGACTGTATCTTTCAGACAAATTAATCACATCTATTTGTTAATTTCACATATATACAGCATTGTCTTGGTGGGAAAAAGACTGACTGGCTGTCGGAGAGTGCCATTTCATATTCAGACACAACACTCATGATGGCTGGGATTGGGTTTTTAATGAGATAATGGGTTGTATAAAATACTGGCATATGCTATTGTGAGCAAGCTCAGTACTAACCTAGTGTACAAAGAAAATATGTGTTAGGAATTTTAGTAGTAAGATTAAACTTAACCCCACAGTATATGTCAATACAAACGTAAAACTGGGAGATGGAAGGGTAGGTAGTCACCAGAGCTATTTCAAACACAGGTGTGAAGAGGAAGTCCTTGCTTCTGCTGGGATCTGAACCTTGGTTGCCCAGCCCAGGATAATTCATTTCAATGATGAGACTAGCCCACCTCATGTTTACTCTAATTTTTTAAAAAGTATTGCATGTAAGTGGGAGCCAGTATAGTGTAGTTGGAATAGTGACTGGCTATGGGCTGGACAGCTGAGGGGTTGGAGTTTGAGTCCCTGAAGGGTCAAGAATTTTCTCTTCTCCACATTGTCCAGCCAGGCTCTGGGGTCCATGCACCCTCCTATCCGATGGGTACTGGGGACTCTTTTCCTGAAGGTAAAGTGGCTGGGGTGTGAAGCTGACCAATCACCTCCAACTAGTGCTGAGTTCAAGAAAATGTGGATCTATACATCCATTCCCCCATACATCTTCATGGCGTACTGCTTAATTAGTTAAGCACAGGGACAACTTTATCTTTTTTTTTTTGCACATAAGTGAATTCTTTATCATATACGGCAGAGCTGTCCAACTTGCAGGATGTCAGCCATATATGGCCTGTAGGGGTCTCCTCTCACCCAAAATAAATATTAATGCTTTCCTCATGTTTGTTTCTTAAGAAGGCTGATCTTGCCACTCCCCCGCAAAATTACTGAAAGTTTTTAAAAAACATTTCATGTAGTTTTTCACCAGATTTTACACAATACCTAGAAATAACTTGGAAAAGCATGGAATCAGTATGGCTCCACCATAATGCACACATTGGTACAATCTAGAAAACTTTAGCAGCTTATTTTTAAGCACCACTGACCTGGCAGCATATTTATTGAAACATAATGGACTTTGGCATAAAGGGTTGCTCCGTGTTTGTAAATACAGTGAAACCCCCATTTAATGGACCTCAATTTAAGGTTCTGTACATTCAGCAGTCAATTACAATGACCCAGGTCAATAAACTTGGTGTTAAATTTCCTATGTTAAATTTTTGCTCAGTTTCATGTTTAGATCAATTTCTCCCCAAACAAACTTTAACCCCACAAATACTACGATTTCAATTCTTAGGCACTTTCACAACCCAAGTTACTTAAGCCTTTTAAATGCTGTGATATATTTCTTAATATTTCAGCTTTTTTAATTAATAAAACAAAGGGCAGATAAAAAAGCATTACTCATTCTCCCTACCTGCATTTTATTTCACACTAAAATTACTCTTTGTATAACTTATGAAATAGTCACCTGTCATTTGTTTTTGATGCATGTAAGTGCTTTTTAAAATAATTTATGCTTTAGAAACATGGATTAAACATATTACAAAGAATAAAAAATCTTTTGTGAAGTGTAACACACAGTCTTTGCTGAAGCACCATACTGAGTGCTTCACATCACCACACTGTGTAGTTACAGCTGGCCTCCATTTAGTCTCACTTCCACCTGAATATTTTTGAAAAAGTTGAAGGTCTCTTAAAAGACACTTCTGCCACTGATAACAAAAACTGAACATGTTATGATAATCATGGAGTCTCACAACACTAAATAACATATTGTGGCATATTGGCTCTATGCAGGAACTGTTGAGCCACAGAGGCCTTGGGGCGCACACGAAACAGGAGAGTTGCAGATCGTATCAGCATATTGCTAGGCAACATCTCTGTGAACGCTTGGATAGCGCAACAGGAAGTGCAAGTGACATCACATATCCCCACTCATCCTGTCACTACACAATGCTCGGTAAACACCCCTTCCCGCTAGGCCATGATGTCATGCAACAGTGGAGTCCATGCAGTGACCACTGCTAGGCAATGGGTCGGTAAACACGTCCAACAACATAAGCTGTTTTCTGTGTGGTCTGCAAAAGGCCTATATAAAGGGTTGAATGCATTTGCCAAGACAGTGTCAGTTGAAATATAGCAGCCGCCAAAGAAAGTTAAGTCTGAAAGTGACTATAGCGGAAGTAGTAACTGGGACACTGAAATTGTGTAAGAGTGGATAAATGTGCACAATAAATTTGCTATATCCAAGACTGGCACAAAGTTATTTGTCGCACATGCAACAATATTGTTTGACTCAGTCACTCTGATGACAAATGAAGAGTTATTCATACACAAGCTAGGAGTGATCAGTTCAGTTTAGTACAATTTCAGATATCCTGCTGCCATGGTATACAGACTAACAGAATTTCACTTCATATGCACAAAATAAGCTGAGACCTTATAACCAAAACAACAGGTTCAGTGAGATTTTCTTATTACTCCCGATGCATTTCACAATGATAGAAATGTGTTGCAGAGTTCTCATGTGTATGTACAGCCATTGTCCTGTGTTGATGAAACACTGACATGCATTTATGCAACAGTAGGCTGTCAAGACACAGAAGCTAATCATGAGGGACTAAACAGGAGTTTCACTGTACCGACTTATCTAAGAATACTCTATCAATCACAGGACTATATAAAATCTTGATATTGTTATTCATTAAATGATGAATCTGTTTGCCACTTCGACTTGCTACTACCAAGGTAAATGTGTAAAGAGAACATCCACAGCATTCATACAAATACAGAGAGGGTGTTTAACATCTCATGAGAAGCAAATTCTGTGAATTATTCTAATTTTGGTATGAAACATTTCCATTAAATGCAAACAAATGTTTTTGAACCACTGGTCTAATTCGTGTTATCTGTATGCAGTGCTCTATAGGTCTGATCATTGCAAGGCAAATACCTATAGTGGTATATGAGAGAGAATAGCATTCATTCCTTATAATGTGACCTGTGAGGATGAATGTGGCCCCTTCAGCATTTTGAAGTTGGACAGCCCTGATATATATAAATATAAATGTAATACTCTCTCCACATTCCTCAGACTCAGGCAGTCCATACCTGCAGTGGTGTACTCTCAGCTGACATTGCCGTGAAACCGACAATATCACTGAAGTATATAGTGACTAAATCGAAAGATTCGGGTTCCACCCCAATCCCTTTGGTTAACTGTTCTGCAACTGGCCTGCAATGGAAACAAAGCTTTTTAGGTACAAACTCTCATAATTCCAGCAAAAATAGATTACTTTGTTTTGACTTCCATGTTAACTTATAAATTCTTAACTTGAAGTGTTAAAAAATGACAGTATGGATTTCTTTATACTGGTAACACCTTACACCAAAGACCAAAGAGAGATGGCATGGGAAGGAATAAGTTCTAGATATTATGTACTTTTATTCAGGTTGGGTGAAATTCTTTTTGTGACACTGACCAGGAGTTGAACCCTACCACATGAAGGCAAATAACAGGCACATTTCCATGAATGGCACGAATCTCTGAAGGGTGAGCACCAGAACTAAAAAGAAGAATGTCTGCATAGATGTGTTTCATTCTCACCCCAAATATCCACACCTAAATCAATATTTCACTAATAGCTTAGTTATTATTTCCTTAACCAAAATATTTTTTGAAACACATTTTTGGATGCCCAGCAGTTCTTTCAGTGTTCCACTTACAGCATGCATGCCAATGGTTTTCTGTCACTGTGTTAGCCCTTTAGTGGCCTAAAAATCCTTAATCAAGTGACTGAAGTTTTTATTCAAGAAAGAAGAGACAGAACCCAACAGGACATACTTTCTAAACCAGTTTATATGTCTTCTCCACTGATACTGTGGCCGTTCAAACAGAATCGCCTTCTACAACACAGCATTATCATCACATGTAATGGTTAAAAGAAAACTTGCTTCTCAGATTCACATGGGTTACAGCACCAATGTTTTGGAGGAAATATCTACTAGCCTACATCTATCCTGAAGATAAATGCTGCATGTTCTTATGAGACAGTGATATCTAGCTACCACGCTACATAGTGGCACAACCCATAAGACCACAGTCTGTATCTTCACTGCAATGAAAACTTCAAACATCATATATGTTTCAGGTGGGTGCATGTGCAAAAATAATTACAATTACTCTAAGAATGAGGTGAGTCTTAAGTCCCTTGGAACTCAACAGCGTAAGTCGCCCACTACACTAGCCTGGATGATAGACAACAGAAATGAGGCATTTGGTGGAATGAGAATTGGCTGAGGAAACCAAAGCACTTGGAGTAAATCTGTCCTAGTGCCAGTACATCAACCACAATTCCCACATGATGAACTGGGATTGAATCTAGGCTGCAATGGTGAGAAGCCAATGGGTGGACGAATCAATTGAGCAATCAACTCTTTTTTCTTGGGTTTTAATTTGTTAATAGCACTTCTCTCTTCCCTTCCAGTCTTCCTTTCACATTTTTACTTCTTTTCCCCACTTTGCATTATTAATTTCACATCCATTTTTTGTCATTCCTTTCCCCATATCCTAGCAATGGGAGAAGAAAGTTGAGTTTTCCCTGTATCATAACAACGGCACACTGGGCTTTTCCCGAGTATGGAGGGAACTGGCCATTGCATAATCACTGCTGTCACAATCTCATTCTTTCTGTTTGGAGGAAATAAGATGGCTTGGATGGGAACCCATACATTTAGCAGCAAAATTAACAATTTTCCAGGGCTGTCTCTCTAAGAAGAACATCTTTTCACTTTCACCAATTTTTCTGATTATATGCCAACTGGGCCATGGTAAAGTAGCTGGTTGAGACACTATGCCACAAGCCAGAAGGTGGCAGGTTTGATTCCTGTTGAGGTCACAGAATTTTTCAATTGACCTAATCCTCCCAGCAGCACTATGGTTGACAGCAGTTGACTCAGCCTCTAAAAGAAATAAGTAACAGGAATCTTTCTGGGGGTAAAGGGCAGCTGGCGTGCAAGGCTGACCTCACTGCCATCAATGAGCTGGTTGTCTAGAAAATGTAGGAGCCTCAACATCTCACAACTGTATTGGCCTCCATGGCCTGTTATAGTGTGAAGCTGATCACTCAACTCTGACCAGTGCCAAGGTCAAGAAAACGTGGATCTATATATCCACTCCCTCATACATCTTAATGGCATAGTGCTTAATTAGTTAAGCACAGGGCCAACTTTACTTATATGTCATTTGGGAAAAATAAGGTGGGACACATGCACATGAATGATGGTAATTATGTGCATAGATTATTTACATTTAATTTATTACATTTTACATCTTCACAAAAGTTTACTTGTATTCTCAGAGAGAAGTGGCAAGGATACTAAGGATTTTGGTACTTACGCTGGCAGCATTCTGTTCAAGAGGTCCTCGGTCTTCTGCTTCTCTTCAATAAGCAGTCGAGTCCTCTCACTGACTAGATCCTCCAGATTGTTGGCATATTTCTCCATCATGTCCATCATTTGGTCCATGATGTTCCGATGCCTGAAAAAAGAACAGATATAATTGTAATACTCTCATAACCATACATGCTCTACCCATACCTAATGAGAAATTTGATGAGTGAGCTTAAGAAATTATAAAAGATAAAACAACTCCATCCAGTGTGACTGTCTTGTTAAGGTTGCTTCTCATTACAAAAAAAATGCTACACCTAGAAACATTACTTCCCATTTGTTTAAGCTCACTGTTAATTTACTTTGAAAATTAATATTTGTTTAGATCATGGTCTTCCTAGTTGTGACACCATGTAGGATTGAGGGTGGATAACAACACCTCGGAGGAATGCTGGTGTATACCCACAAAATCGCACTGTGAAAACCTCGTAACTTGTATTCACATCTGTTGTCACCTTCAAACAGTTTGTCATGGTGAATGCACTTCACTGACACTAATAACAGTATTCCTTTCAGTAAATCTAAGAACTAACTCAATGAAACTCTGTAAGGTCCAGATGTGGAACTAAATGAAAGTGAATGAAACTCACACCTGATGGTAAGTATACTCGCAGTTATCAATGCTAATGGCGGGGAAAGAAACACGAATAACCAAAAAGACACAGAGAGTCCAGGTTCTGGGTGTGTTCAAGAGACCACAGTGATCACTGAATACAGAAATTCAGAAATGTACCGACAGCATAAAAGTTGTTACNCATAAAAGTTGTTTAACTATTTCAAAAACAGACACATTCATGCAAAAAATGTATTGAATTTAAAAAGTGTGACTCACTTTTCTCTAAAATTTGTGGCCAAAATATTCTTTGTTCTAACAAATATCAGCCAGTTACACCCAAGATATATACAAGCAGCATGGCTGTCTTTGTATAAAGTCATCATTCGAATTGTCCAGTCTAAATAATAATTTAATGGCTTCATAATTCTTTGTAAAATTCTCCTACATAAAGTTTCACGAAAATCCAAACAGTGGTCCCCACACTGTTTCATGCATATAGACGGAAGGGCTAAGAATATTCAGGAGGTGCTCTACAGCACCGTGAACTCTCCTAAGAGCCATATAAATAAGTTGTAAACCAGATAAGCTGCATACACATAACTGGAAATATAATGTACTTGTACAATAAGAATAATGTGTTATGAAGTTTTTATAATAATTTGTCAAAGGATAAAAATAAATGCATATATAAACTCCTTGAAATAAACCAGAGAGAAGAAGGAATAGTTGTCCCTGTGCTTAACTTATGCACCATATCATTAACATGTATGGATGAGTGGAGGTATAACTCCATGCATGTATTTTTAATTTCAGCACTATATGTAGGCAAGTGGTCAGCTTCATGGCCTAGCCAATGCATCCCCAGAGAAATAAAACCTGCTAAACAATGGACAGGAAGCTGAATGGGGCCAGATCTAGTCTGGTTGCCTTGAAAAGAGAAAAATCTCTAGCTCTGCCTGGAATTAAACCCATGTGATTCACAAAATCACAGAGCCAACTAAACCAAAATCAGCAACACAGCTTGACAAAATTTAGCACAGATTGTGCTGAGTTCCATTAAAATCAAACCCACTCTTTTGGCACCACTGTTTACAAATGAACAAGTGGATATGAAAACACTTAACGGGAGCTTTTCAAAATTTCACATACCTAGAAAGTAGAAAATTTAGGAATTAATGTAACACAAAGCAAAACACAAATATTATGTTTCTGGACATTATCTATCATCCTGGTTTTATTTAAAAACAATCAATAGAGCTAGTTCCTATCGACAGGGACTAGCTCTGTTGATTGGGACCAACCGAGGGGTTTTACCTGAAGAAGGAGATAAAACCCAGTCTCTGAAATTCTGTGTTTTTAAATAAAAAAAAAAAGATGATGAATAGTGTCCACAAACATAATATTTGTATTAATGTACCATCGTCACAAACTTTTAGATCTTATCTACAAAGTAAAACCCTGAATGCGAAGGAACTTCGAATTGTGAATACATGTCATTACAGGAACACTCACATGCCCTCCTTCATCTTTTTGAGACGTGAGCGAATGGCTGCAAAGTCAGGTCGCATGTCAGGGTTGTCTGCCCAGCAGTCCTGCATGCAAGAGAGGATGTAGTCTGGACACTCAACATCTGCATCCTGCAGCAATTCCAAGTTTGGTCTGAATGGTTCCTGACCTGGCGAGGGTATCTGCCTCACACGGTTCACAATCTCTGTGTAACAGGAAAGACTGAATGTTTGGGTTATATGAAACACAACAATAATACACTTCAAATTCATCCAGAGATATTCCATGCACAAATCAATGATAAGGTCATCACAGCAGTAAACCTCAGGACTTGTACGAGAGATAACGAGAATGAAATCTCGGCTAGAATATTGGCTGACCTCTTCTTTCAACTTCATAATTTATAATTATCATCCCAACTGACAACAAGTATATAATCAATGCAGTTGAGAACGGCCCGCCCCTCAAAATAAAAAAAAAAAATAAAAAAAAAAAATTGCTTATGATCAAGAAAGCTCATATAAACAACAAGTTAGGAAATGCACACATGGCATAACCATTCTGATATGTTTACTGTTATTGCATCTAGATATCCTATTTGTAAATGCTAACTTTTGATATACTAATACAAACAGTGAGAAACAGCTGGGGTGGAAAGCTAGGACACCCATTATAAAATATAATCAAAATGAGACCCGCTGTTCTAGACGCTATGTAAAAATAACTTTTAATTACAATTCAGTGAAACCATGGAAGAGGTAGGGCCTACAGAAAGGACTACATTAAAGCTACAAAAAAATACTCGAGCTATCAATTTCTTAATTACAAGGCGGTATCAGAAAGTTCCCAGACTGTTATCGTTGTAACTGCTTTGGTGAAAGAAGACGAGAGGGGAGGCCAAGGTTACTCTCCCACAAGCCTATTGCATCAGTCAGCAAAGTGACATAGCGCTGTGAACATGCATTGTTTTTACATGAGAGCTTTTTCAACTTCATGTTTCATTTTGTTTACAATGGATAGCAAAATCAAGCAACATGTCTGCATCAAGTTTTGCATGATGCTCAGTAAATCTGCTACCAAAACCCTTGAAATGCTTTGTGAGGCTTCTGGAGAACATTCTTTAAGCCAGACAGTGGTTTCTGAAAGGCATTCATGTTACAAGGCTGGTCTATTGTCAGCTGAAGATGATGAACATTCAGGGCGACCAAGCATCAGAAAAACGGCAGAAAATGTTTAAAAAATTTGAAAACTCATCCATGAAGACCATCGGCAAAAAATCCATGAGTTCACAGATACTGTTGGGATCAGTTATGTAGTTTGCCAGATCTTAACAGAAACATTTTGAAACAGTGTCAGTCATCCAAAGGGAAATCACAAGTGGTACTCAAGAGCATTAAAGAAAATGACTTCCACGGTGCTTTTGAAGTATGGAGAAAGTGATGGGATCACTGTATACATTCCCAAGAAAAGCGGCCTCCGTAGTCTAGGGGTAACGTTCCCACCTCATGACTCAAGGTACATGGGTTCAAACCGGGCGGAGGTCGTGGAATTTTTAAGGGTGGAAAAATTCAGGGAACAAGTCCTCCAGGAGGGACTTTAAGCTGTGGGTCCCATATCATAGATTTACGGCACGTAAAAGATCCTCATGTCTCTAGGAGACCTCTGAGCAAAATTAGGCAACAATTTCCCGCCCAAGTAGTTTTCAATGCCTCTGGTAGATGGGGGAAATATCAGGTACCGACGGCCGACCTCATTGGCTGAACGGGGCTGATAGCACGCACCAGTACCGGTAGGGTATGGCGACAGTAGAAATTAAAATGGGACGCACAATGGACCAACAACTGGTCTAAGTGCATGGGGAAACCCACCCCCTCTAATAATAAGAGTAATAATAATAATACATTCCCAAGAAGACTATTTTGAAGGAGATGGCAACCAAAATTGAGCAAGTTAAGCCAGCACCTCTTTTTTAACCTAGTCCTGGAACTATCAGATAGAACCTCGTACACAGAACAAGCGCTTTTTCCCACACCTCTATTGTAATGAGTAATTTGTAACCAGCTGACACTCAATTCCCATTAACTTTTTGCATAAACTGTACTTGTAGTTTTGCTTCTAAATCTGTTTATGGCTAACAGTCCATACTATTCTGTTAACCAACCCTCTACACCCTATGCCTGAGGAGGAGAAAGTCTGCATTCCAGAACCTAACAGTGAGCAGTTCATCCACACCAGGTTTAGACCATTGAGAAATGTGTATCAATCATGTGATGTCCTCCGAATTTTCTCAACCGTCCATTAGCTTCTTTCATTGTCTATCATGTCTCCTGGCTTCTCTACAAGAGGCACTGTACCGTATCTTCCCTTCTTGTCACAAGGGTGTTGCTTTCCCATGAGCCTCCTCTGACTTCAAATGAAGAGGTCACAAAATACAACTATGCATGCATATATGTTTAGGGTTTTGTCCCATATCAAACTTGGTCTGATTTCCGGCAGCACTTGTCACAAGTTTCCTTCTCAAAAAACACAACCACAAATGTCGAGACTTTATGTCATGTGAAAACCTCCCTTAACACTGTTACTTTTTGCTGTGAGTATAAAATGATGAAATTCGTTCTGTGACCTCAGTTTGTTACAGTGTGCTGACCTAATGAGATTAGACCTGTACTGACAGTGTAAAATCACATGTGCGGAAGCTAAGACATTGTGGATCCCATCTGTGTATGTTAAGAAGAGTTGTTTTCATTAAGAGAGAGTGGTAACTTGCTGAAACTTAATTTCAATAGGTTTGAAAATTAAACAGTTATGGGTTCTTGTATAGTTTACATGCCACTACCATAACATTAGTTTTACAGTTATGTATGATGCACATAACATCAAGAAGTTGTGTGTATTCCAATTATGGCAGTAAGAACAACCCAAAACATTACACAAGTATGTCAAATATTAGTGATATTTAAACTGCATCCTGTGTTGGTCTGTTACACAAGTTCAACACAAACCGACCGCCTTATTCTCACACTTATAGATGCGCAGTGAATTGTCAGCAGCATTCAGTAGAGATTGGGCAGGACTTCGCCTGTTAAACACAGAACCTAATCAGCAGATGGTTGCGGGCAGTTTCATATCCTTATGATAACCTTTCCTAAGACAAGGAAATGTTGCTGCACCTGCATTTATCATTCAAACCTTAGTGCCATATCGTATTATACATAATTGTACATTACGGCACAGACTCATCCTTATGTATTTCACTCATTTTTGGATATTATGAGTAACCATTAGAATAAACATTTTTATTGTTTTCATTTTATACACTCATAATACTGAGTTTTTTTTTTTTGTTATTTTTATTTGAAACACATTTTGTTCCAATAAATATTTAGTCATGCTTGAGATGTACACAGAAATCCCTGTAGGTCTTTGTGTAAAGTGGATGTTACTGATCTAATTTAACCAAATTGGAACATATGGATACATTTCAGTAAATTTCCAAAATATGGAATTTTATAAAAAATTATTGATCAGTTCTTGAGCTGATACATGTTCACAGACAAAAATAAGTCAGAAGGAGCATTTTTGGAACTGTTGTTTATCTAAAGTGGAATAATATCTCAGTCATAACCTGATGAACTGTAACAAAGAAGCTGAAGTGCAGAAACAGTTAAAATTATCCTCCTGTAAGGGAAGGACCTTTTAACATATTACAACAATTCTAGAATATAGAAGAGAATTAACTGTTGAGTTCATTTTAGATTCTAACAACTTTAAGGGGAAGTACATGGATGGGGCTATACAAGGTTATCAGTACACTCCTTTCCAATGCCTTCAAAACTACTTTCTGAATATTCTGCAGCAAAAGGATCTTGAATGATGGGTATTAACCCCCTGAGCAGGGATACACCTACCTCTTGGTTTGTGCCAGGCAGGTGACAATTTTCACAATCACAAGGCTCTAAGGAAATATTCTGTGATGTAAAATATGTACACAGAAACATATATTTTACATTAAAATATTGTCACGTGTTTGGTGTATAACGTGTGACAAGTAACTTCACGCCTTATTTGATATAGCGAATTTATTGCACATTCACTCCACACTTATACATTTCAGAGTTATACAATCTTAATCTTATACAATTTACTATCTCAATGGCTGTTCAACTGCATCTCGGTGAATCCATTCAACTGTCTCCGGCAGTGGCTAGCCTGCAACTGTCTGGTTACTCACTCTCTAGTAACTCACTCACTCGTAACTGGCTCAATCCTCACTACTGAGTAGTGTTCGCTGCTCCTTATTTAGCCTTGGCACGGACAACACAGAAAACTGTTATGTGATAGGTACCGCTGTTGCCTGATGCAGTGTTTACCGGTGTTGCTAGCAACGCTGTCGAGAGTTGTCTCCTGCTGCATAGCAATCGCGGTATCCCTTGGTAATAACACAGCTGTTCCTCCACCACGTCACCGTGGGGGAGGAGGGGTGCCCACCAAGCGTTGTGTACTGGTGGAAGGAGTGGGAGTACCTGACATCACTCGTTGAAATGCAGAGTTCATGTGACCCCTACTTCCTGTTGCACCATCCACGTCACAATATATATTTTTCTAATTTGTTTACATTCATATGTACAATATCATTTGGAATTATCTCAAATTAGTGCTAGAGAAGTACATACCTCAGTTTATTCTGCTTTTCTTTTTCTGGAAACATGTTATGGTAATCCTGCAGAAAGCTTTCATACACAATTATAATATTTACACTGTTTGTCCTATTTACATTTCTGTTCCTTAACTTACTGCACTAGATGAGAATGCCACAACCACAAGCAAGACTCTGTGCACAAGGAAACATTACCGTCAGTGCACCTGCAAATTGTGTCTTTGCTTCCTTCCTTTCTTTTTTTTCAATACAGACCACACCTCTTTTAGTGGCATGTTACCTGGTACCTGTCATATGGTTCGCATCAGAAAAAATGCCTCCCTACGAACTGTCCAGCAAAGCCTCTGATAATGTCCTCATTGGTCTTAATGGCAGAGCTCAGGTGAAGATGTTCCTGCATATTTTTCAAAAACTTTGTCTACTATATCCATTTTAAATAGCAAATGAGTGTACTTGTCACTCACTGTGTTTCTCGAATGCCAGATACAAAATGAACACTGTTAAGATCTAACAAGTAGCAGAATATTTTCTGATAGTACGTCGTCATTCACTTTCTTGTTGTATTGTAGACAGCTATCCCTGTAACAGGTTGTGGAGGCCCAGAGGTTTGTAAGATGGTGAGGCTCCCGCCTTTTCTACACAATTGGCTTACAAATGGTGATAAGGCTGTCAGCCTTATGTACCAGCTGCCATTTACCTCAAGGAAGAGTGCTGGTAATCATTTCTGTTAGAGGCTTAGTCAACCCCAGGGTCATAGTGCAGCTGAAAGGATTAGGTCAATTGAAAAGTCCAATGAACTTTTCGGGAATCAAACCCGTGACCTTCTGGCTTATAGCACAGTGCCTCAACCAACTATGCTACCGTGTGCCCGTTTAATAATGTTGTGATCAGAAAGATAAATACCTCATTTTAACACTGAAACCAACGCACACCTTCAGCTTTTGTTTCTGTTACACCTTTCCTATCAGCACAGTTTGCATTTCCTCATTACATATGCTGTTCAGTGTACACAAATCGCTTTTGCCCTTCCATTTCAGAGTCATCAGCTTTTTTCTGAAGGAAAGTGTCACTTCTCCATTCTTCAAATTCTTTCTTACACTGTCTCCAGTGAGTCCTCTCCTGCTTCATTCTTCTGTGCCTACTGCATCTGTTTCATATTCAATTAACAAGCTGAAGACCTTGACACTGCTATATTTGTTGTCCAATCCTATCGTGTAACTTGGTCTCAGAAGATTCTCAGCTAGCGTGAATGCAGTCTTGAATGGCTTACAGCTTTTCTTTGGAACATACACTTTCCATAATAATTGGCTCTCCCGCAATATGAAGATACACTTTCATCTGTTGACAGCTGATCCTTAAGAATCTTGCTGTCTGAAAACTTCTGCATCAGATGGTCAAACACAAATTTTACTTCATATATTTTAGGAGGAACCTATCCACTGTAGCATTCACTGTCCACAAAATGCAAGAAATTTAGAAGAATAAAGCATCTCTTTTCTGTCATCATGAAGAAATGAGTATTGCAAACACATGATGACCTTTACCAGCATAGAATACTCCTTGTCCCTTGTTGCAAGAATATACATGGGTCTGTGGGTTATATAACAATGTTGGATTACTTTCAGGTGATATTTAGTGATGAATAAGACGAAAAGAGGGCTACTTTATAGTGAACCTGAGACATTGGATAGGATATGGCTGTAGCCTTTGGAATTTGCCATGAAATTTACAACATCAGTGAAGCTAGCAAGTGTATAAGTTAAAAACTAAAACATATTAGCACTTCTGGTGCCAGAATAACATACCTTTGGGCTCGTAACGAGTAGAACCAAATGGACCTCTTCGCCCAATGATTTCGTAAAGGATGATAGCAAAAGCATAGACATCAGCCTTCTGAGAACCACAAGGAGAGTTGTTAGGATCACGAAGCAACTCAGGTGCCTTCCACAATAAATCTGTGAACAGGTTTACCAACTGTGAAGGAAACTGTTCACAATACAAGATAATATTCAATTACAAGAAAGTAAGCACTTGTAGGAAATCAGCTAGAAATAAATCTTGAACTGGACTGTCTGACTTCCAAAATACAGTGCTTATGAGAGCAGGGAACTTTAAATCATTTAATTTAATATCACCTATATCATCTTAATATTATATTTAAACATCCTGTCATACTGTACTGTACTGTACTGTTGTTCACTTAATGTTTATTCTGAGTCTTAATAACACAGTATTCTGGACTATCACCAGGGAAGAAAAATTCCCAAGGGAAAAGTTTCTATACAGGTGAAAAAAAAAAAACAGTAACTGGGAGAGAAGTTGCATGATTTTACTATGGGTTAACTCACACAGCAGTATCAGACAGCTTAAATGTGGTCTCTCTGATGGAAGTGTAACAAGTAACACATTAAACATTTTAAAGGAGCATAAATCCACCAGTTAGGGTTTAGTCACTGCAAAAGAAGAAAAACAATGGTAACCCACAATAAATGACATGATCTTGTCAAAGCTGCCTTTAGGAGGAAACTGCATGGCTTTTACTTGAGCAATAAAATGAAAATCTCCCCCAGCAGGTATCACTACTTTGACGTAATGGTGGGGCTTGTGTGGTCATACGACCCTGAGAGCTATGCCAGCAGCAGCATAGCTACTAGTAGGGTCTCCTATGCTGGACAGGTCAAAGGTGATAATCCAGACAAAGAGAGAGACCCTGGTACTCTAGGTTGGGGGATGGGCATAGGGTTAACAATTCCACCCTGAAAAAGCCTCAATTGTTCAGAATCTTTCAATGACTGCAGCTGAACAGAAATATCTAAATGGAAACAAAAGTCACAGGATGAGGACCAATGTCAAGGGACTGTAAAAGAGGCCAAGGTTCACCATGGACTGTAGTGCCCGCAAAAGTAAAAGAAGTAGGAGGAGGAGAAGGAAAATTATGTACCATAAGCACAGGCTTTAAATCTGACAAATGAAGACAAAACCGCAGAGTCCAAGAATGAAGCAATGTTGTGCTGCTTCACTGCAGACATCCTTGAGATATTAAATAATACTGCGCACAGGATAAAACCATCTACTCCTTAGATGGTATCTGAGTTAACCCCTATTGTCCATGTGTCACAAAACTGGGACAGTGCATGTACTAGCATGTCCCCACAGGCCTTGAGTCACACTGTTTATAATGTCCCGTGTATGAGCGACTCCCAACGGAGTTTGGGATTGGAGATTGAATTTATTGAATATTGCCTCTTTCCAAATGTATGTCCTCTCGAGGTTCCTCTTGGAACACAGTCCCTGAACTACGTTTGAATGTCAGTCCTGTATGACTGCGTCCCTTATGCTGTGCCATTCCTGCATGACAGGTCATTCCTCTGTGGCCAGCGGCCAACTCATTCTGGTCCCACCATTGCCCTGAGTTTGTTTCTTCAGCTGTCAGCAGCACCCTATGGCTAGATTCTGGTATCTATACCACTCCTTTGGTGCTCTGACAGTTTTCACTGCAGCCTCTTGTTTAGGGACTTCCTCCTGCACCACTATGAACTCTATCTCCATTGAGATTGGCCCATTACACTCCCAACAGGCCTCTGTCACTTCTTGGCAGGCCATTGCCTCTTTAGCCAGGAATTCACACTGACTCCCATCCTTTCCTGATGGGTGTCCATCTTGGCTATTATTTCTTCTTGAATGGTCTCTGTCCTGGCTTGGTGGATATCCATCTGGGAGATGAGAGTACTTCAAAGAACTTCAAACTTCTCATTGTTGGCTCTTATTTCAGCCTTCGTTTTTGTTAGACTGGCATTTGTCTTGGCATCCATCCTCTCTAGACTGGCATCCATTTTTACTTCCATCCTTTCTAGATTAGTCTTCATTTACTCTTGAAAGGAAACCATCCTTGCCAGCATCCGTTCCATTTCCATATGGTGGTGGTGTAACAATCAATCCAATGCAGTTTCCAATCCAGCCACTTCTGACATCAGTTGTCACATGTATGAGTGGCTCCTGATGGGGGTTTGGATTGGATTTACTGACCACTTTAACATATAACTCGCATATACACTTAATTATAGCAATATCGTTAATTTCCACACTTCACAATTCATTCAAGCACACTACTAAGTCTTTTCCAGCCTGCAATGTTTTCGCTAGTAGTTGCCTGGTAATGGTTCCAACAATGTCTATTCCTCTGTTTCTGTGCTCAAGTCCTCTCTGAATGGCAGGTCCCTTTCAACCGTCTAAATTCTTGTTCCAGTTGTCCTCCTCATAATCTCTTGGCATGGACCACCATAGAGAACATGGACTGTTGCCATGTGAACTTGTTCCTTTGCAAATGTTGCCTAGAAACAAATGTTTCAGAGCTGTTTGCTAGCAATGGCCGTTTCTCTGGCTCTAAGCAAATATGCCACAATATCAACCCTATTACCACCAACAGGAAATCTGACTTGACAGTGCCATACTATCAGCAGATTTAAATTCTCTAATCAAAGATGATACAGATTAAGCTCCACAGATAGATGTTCTTGCAAACTCATTCTAAGTAGGAGCTGGAACTTTATTGTGACATGATACCTAAAAGTTAGAATCTTCGAATCAGTGAAATGTTGTAGAGTTGTCCAGCACTAGGTAATGTCATGCAACAATCCTTGACAGCCACGTATTCAATGAGCAGCTAGGAACTCTTCACGACAGTGTCTTCCCATTGGTCCACAACAAAGTGATCTACACAGAGCCTGCGCCTGATAATAACCCTACCCTCAACCTGATGACTAATAAAGCTTACTTCGGTAATACTGATGCTCTCCAATGCTATCACTCTCTGCACTGTGCCTCAGGTCATGCAGTCCGANATAATTATTTGTAAATAAGTTTCAGTGTCCAGTAAATCCAGTTACTAATCAAAATCCCGCATACAGTCACAATCATACAGTACTTTCCTGACTGTGATGGGCACAGAAACATATATGGAACAGTCATTACATTGCGAAGAATGGCCTCAACTTGCCTTGCTTCCAGCCTCTTTTGTTTACGTGTGCTCTTCAGACATTCTCAATATGGGTAAATTCTCCAGCTTCCATGGGACCCTACGGGTCATGACCACTTGTACATGAGCCTGATAATAACCCTACCCTCAACCTGATGACTAATAAAGCTTACTTCGGTAATACTGATGCTCTCCAATGCTATCACTCTCTGCACTGTGCCTCAGGTCATGCAGTCCGAAGTCTGTGATTTGGAGCACCCACCGACTTGTTACCACACAGTTGGATGACTTGAGATTGCCATGGAAGCCCAGTATGGAGCTATGAATGTACAACATGCCCTGCCAAAAGAGTATAACCACTTAAGATCACACATTTAAAATAAACAAAAAAGAAATATATTTTACTAAGAAATGATTATTTTATATTGTTTTATTTTATGTATACTGCAGAATAAGATTTGAAACTTTCATGTTGATGTAATGTAAGAATCATAACTGTCTTCAGAATGCTGTATGAGGTAATACATGGATGATACTATATATTAACTGTGAAGAGGACATATTTTATTGTTATGAACTGAAAAAAATATAACCTGTGCAGTTGAAAAGGTGTCACTAAATAGCTTAAGAATATTACTGGCTATGAGCAAGGGAACAGCAGTAATTTCTAATGTCTGGTTTCATCTGCCTCAGCTCCTAATCATGAAAAAATGATTTTACTAGTAGAAAAGGCTGGTTGAAATTACACAGAATATTTCTCTTGTATCTTCAGCCTTTATTCTCGTTCTCCCTTTTCTTTATCAATTTCATATTTTGCCTCCTTCCTTCGCTTCTCCTAAAACAGTGATTTTAGTTACATCTTCATCCTCGAGACAGAACTGTTTCAAACACAGTACTGCCACAAGAGAGAGAAAGACTGTGTGTGGGAAAACCACGTCATTCCAGAGAACTGGCCTGGGCATGCAATAGAACACACTTCCCCCTTCCTGCATGAGCCTACTTCCCCCAACAAACAAACAAACAAACAAACAAACCCTAATCATAAAACCACAACCTATCATTATTATTATTATTGGAGTGGGTGGGTTTCCCCATGCACCGCGACTAGTTGTTAATCTATTGTGCGTCCCCCTTTAATATTCTACCAGTCGCCATGCCCTTCCAGTACTGGTGCTTGCTATCAGCTCTGTTCTGCCAGCGAGGTCGGCCCTCTCTGGCAGTGGTCCCCGATATTTCCCCATCTACCGGAGGAATTAGAAACTACTTGGGTGGGAAACTTTGCCTAATTTTGCTCAGAGTTCTCCTAGAGACATGAGGATCTTTTACATGCCGTAAATCTACGACACAGGACATGCGGCTTAAAGCCCCTCCCAGAGGACTTGTTCCCTGAATTTTTCCGCCCTTAAAAATTCCACGACCTCCGCTTGGTTTGAACCCGTGTACCTTGAGTCATGAGGTGGAAATGTTACACAACCTATCATACATACATACATTCCTTAAAAATATTGACTAGTGCTACTGAGAACATACAACCGTTGATTTTTGGCACAACACAAAAAGCTGTTATTGTCTTATGTTCAGCACAATATAATATAAATACACTTCTGTGGTAAAGACGGGCATAAGCAAGTTACTTTTCTGAGTACAGGAGACTCTCAGGATCCAACCATTCAAGATATAACTTTCATTTGTTTCATTCTGGTCTATCACACTAATATTATGAAAAAACTAAATAGTTTCGTCCAGTGTGACTGGTTAAGGTTTTCTTATTTCAATTATTCATGTCCTTACATGTTTCGGTCTTCAGCAACCATCTTCAGAGGGACACCTTTACATCAATACAGTTAGAAGCCACTATTACAATACATGTTCTAAAAGTTAAAATGTATACATACAATATAAATAATATAACTGGCTGTAAAATTTTAACTTTTTACAACTACAGTGGCTGTTCCAATGCTTTAAAATTTGTTGAAATTCTATTTGGAATTCATAAACCAAGCTGGTTCGTGTTGTCCATCTTATTATTTCTTTTGACGGGGACTGAAGGTCTGCCACCTTGTCGTTCTCGAAGAGAGAGTTCTGCATATATAATATGGGTATATTGTATTATTTCATCAATCCTATTGTTTTGTAAAAATTTTTGTTATTTTGTCCTACCTTTAATGTTGTCCTGTATGTGTTTGTGGCCCGCTGTGTTGTTTTTACTGTTCTATGTTGTGTCGTATTGCATATTTATACTCCTTGTCTCTGTGACATTAGTGTGGACAGGTACTAATGTTGTCCTATGAGGTCGAACATATTATAATGGTTGTCACTTTCCTTTGTGTGTTTTTGCTCTTCTATCAATTTGCTGAGCTTATTAAAGTGATATATATGGAAATTTTCTTTTATATTCATGATGCTCCCTTTTTTTGGCATTCTCAACCATTTCCATGATTACTATCATCGGTCCATACTGGTGGCGTTTGTTCAGTATATGTTGGGCAAATGCTGATTCATCTTTGTTTAGTCTTATGTTTCTTATGTGTTCTTTGTACCTTGTTGTTAGATTTCTACCAGTTTGGCCGATGTATACATTTTGGCAGATTTGGCAGATTATTTTGTATACCCCACCTTGCTCGTAGGGGTTTGTTTCTTATTTGCACTTACTAGTTTACCTGTTGAGTGGGTTGTTTTGAAGGCTATCTTTATGTTGGTGTTTTTGAAGAGCTTTGTGAGTTTGCATTTGTAATTTTCCAGATAGGTAAATGTGGCCCATTTCTGTTCTTTTTTGGCTTTATTATCCAGATTATTTTCCTTTTGTTTGAGCTTGTTATGTAGTTGTGTGATGTCTTCCTTCTTATAGTCATTACTTAATGCTATATTAATAATAGTATTTAACTCTCTGTTTTTAGCGTTTTCATTGAGGGGTAGTGTGAGAAGCCTGTGTATGCTGCTAATTTTTGTTCTTTAGGGTGGCAAGAGTTATTATTTATTGTTGTATCTGTACAGAACTGTAAAGTTTCTTATTTTGGACTCTAGCCATCGTCTGGTATATATGACAAAAAACCACATTTCGGAGACTGGATCTATCTCCGTCCTCAGGTGGATGGGTCAAGACAGACCTACTCAGTTGGGCCCGTTAGAAAGAGCTAGTCTCAATCACTGGACCTAATAACCAAAATAAGGAACCTTACAGTTCTGTACAGCATACACCATCGTCAGAATCCTTTCAAGTCTGCTATTGTACAGAGTGGGACACAGAAACTTCCTTTTTCCGAAGGCGAATAAAAGAAAAATTATTGCTGATAGACAAAATCTGTGTTTAGCTAATGAAAGAATATATTTTAAAGTCTTAAATCATGTAGTTTTAAACAAAATATCTTGAAGGTGGTGGCTACCATTCTCTATGCATTGATGCAACCGTTTTCTGAAGTTCCCCTCTGCACGTTCCAACATGTGCACCAGAATTTGGGCAACTTCCTGCCGAATAACATTCTTCAGCTGAAGCAGGTTTGTGGGGCGATGTTTAAAAACCTCTGCCTTGAGGTATCCACACAAAAGAAAATCACAGGGCGTTAGATTAGGTGAGTGCACTGCCCACAGGATGTCACCTCAAAGCGAGATGAGCTGTCTGGGGAACTTTGCCCTCAAAACTGTCATCGAAGCTCAGGTTGTGTGTGTCGTGGCACCATCCTGTTGGAACCAGATATTTCCTAGATCCATTTCTTCAAGAGCTGGTTCAAAAAAGTTTTTAATCATGTCCACATACCACTGTGAATTGACAGTAACTGCATGCTTGTCTTCTTAAAGAAAAATAAGGGCCAATAACTCCAACTCTCAACAATGCGCACCATACTGTCACCTTATCACTGTGAAGTGGCCTCTCATGGAGCTCTCTGGGATTGTTACCACTCCAATAGCACATATTCTGCTTGTTGATATATCCGGATAGGTGAAAATGTGCCTCATCACTAAAGAAAACAAGTGTGTCAGGGGGTAAGGTTTCCAATAACGTTTCGCACGCCGTTATTCGGTTCTGGAAATCACGTGGTGACAATTCTTGCATAACAGCCATCTTACAGGGATGGAAATAAAGATGTTCATGAAGAATTCAGCGCATTGGACGATTGGATATGTCTAGGGCAACTGCATGTTTGCGAGCGGACCGTCTTGGAGATCTCAAAATTGACTGATGAACTGCCTCCACATTTTCTGGCGTCGTAACAGTCCGTTGTCGTCCTGATGATTTTTTCACCACTCCCGGTTGTCGTAAAGTTCTCTACCCACAAAACAATTGATTTCCGGTCAGGAACCGGACCTCTGGGCTTAATTCCGAAGTGAGTACAGAACACACGCTACACCGCCACGTAGGAATGGTTGTTCAAAAAATAGGCTTCAGCAGCAAATGCACACTGCTCACTCGTCCACCTCATGTTTCCTACTGAGGGGTATTAGACAGAAACTTCCACGACTGCTACGTTCGCTGAGCCTACCCCACTTATCTGCGACCTCCCCTCCCTTCACAATGCGACTTCACAAAAAGGAAGTTTCTGCGCCCCACCCTGTATCTGTTGTGGGTTTTCTGTATATTTCCATTTCTATTTGTCCGTGTTTGTTAATTAGGTTTAAGTCTAAGTATGCTATTCGCTTTACTTCTTCATTGCTTGTGTGCACTGAAGTGTTCGAGGAGGTTTTGGGGGGTTGTTTTTGTCTGATAGTATGAGGGTTGGAACTTTAATAGTGGCAACATTGCTGTACAGACGCCATGCAACAGAACCAAATAATGTTGCTTATACCACACGTTAGTTACATACCTACCTTACCTCAGAGCAAATGGACTCTCCCCTTCCACATCATGCACATGTGAAGTGACGAGGAGAACAGAGCCTCGTGTTAGCTCGCGGTCTAATGTAGTGTTGTCACGATGTTTTCGAAACAGGAACAACGGAGTTGGATAAAGATTGAATGTGCCAGAGGCCGTACAGCACAACAGTGTCATTAAGGTCTTCTTAAGCCCTTGAGACTTCAATTTGAGTCCTAAGAAGAAGGAACCACTTCGTGGCATTCACTTCAGAACTGTTCCAGAGATTCTTCAGGCAGTAGACCGCTCCATTTGAACTATCAACACAACAGGCGCTGCTAAAGGTATCCTACAACTTCCACATCACTGGCAACGGGTTGTACACAATGCTGGTGACTACACTGAATGACAGTAAAACTTCAAAACATGCATCTATTTTGTATCAGTTGTAAATAAATAGCTGTCACTATTAAAGTTCCAACCCTCGTATATTATGAAAATGTCATCTACGTATCTACTATGGTATATAATTTTTTCATCTTCCAGTAGATGTTTTATTGTTTTATTCCAGTTCTTGTAGAAAATTTTCTGCCATAGTGCTTGATAAAGGTGAGCCCATGGCTACACCCGATCTTGGTTTGTAGAATTTTTCATTATACTGAAAATAGTTTTGATTAAATTCAAATTTATTTTATAATGCTTTTGTCCATGTGATTATCTTTGAGCAATTTATTAGTTACAAGGAGTGTATAGTTGAAGATGGTTGCTGAAGACCGAAACATGTGAGGGCATGAATAATTGAAACAAGAAAATCTTAACCAGTCACACTGAACGGAACTATTTAGCTTTTTCATCTAACTTTCATTTTGATACATATACATATATACAGGGTGTTTCGCGACTTTAGGGCATAACTGCAGGAGGTGATTTCCTAGGTCTTTGTGATCAAAAAAGTTCATATAAACATGTGTCCGATTTTGGACGGTTACAGAGTTATGAATGTTTTAAACTCAGAATAGAAGGTAATGATTACTGACAATAAACGGAACAATATAATAAACCAGCACAATAGATGATACATTTAAAGTATGAATGTAAAGTTAACTTCGTGAAATTACCTTTAAATTGAATTTACTGGTGCTTAAAGCTAATTTTCGAAAATGCCACTGCTGGCCGCAACACAGGCTGCCACTCGGTTGTGAACTGTGCTGGACATACCAACCCACCACGCCTTAGGTACCTCTCAAGTGTCGAGATAACGATAACGCTCTGTCTGTAGCTGGCTAAAAACAGCGACCCGCCAGCTGACAAGATGCGGTTCACACGAGGGCGTGTATGGGAATGAAAAGACGGTCATAACTCCATAACCGTCCAAAATCAGACACATGTTTATATGAACTTTTTTGATCACAAAGACCTAGGAAATCACCTCCCGCAGTTATGCCCTTAAGTCGTGAAACACCCAGTATATATACATAATATACACATTTGTATACTGCAACCCTTCTACCAAATTTGACAAGTCAATCCCTGCTTATTAAGCAGATAGAAGTGGTTGAAACACAAAAACAAATATTTCAGAATGTGCTATTTCAAACAGATGATGGTTCACCCAGAAGACTGAGAGTGAACAGATGGGAGCATCCATCTTGTTCAGTCTCTCTGTATATCAAAGTGAAATCCCTAAAGCTTTTAAGGGCAAGCTCAAACCAATGTTCATTCTCAAAACATGGATCTTCCTTCCTTTATAACACATAACTCTGCAGAGGAACAATCCCCAAGATTCAACCACCTTTTCCAGGAACACATCCCAGCCAAATCTAGGGGTACACCCATACTAGTTCTAAGTCCACTTTCCTTATTTTATATGGAAAGTCTTGTTGTATCATAGCTGTGTGTTAATCCATTCATTCAGCCATCAATCCATACAGTCTTGTATTTTCAACCCATAATAACTTTTGGGGAAACTGATGAAATTTCAGGAAACTTGGTTCAATCTCATGTCACCACAAATCATAGCCTAACAATAAATTCTGTTCTCCTGCCACCAGTAACTTCAATATGCCAACTATGTGAATTGCCTACATGCTATGACTTCTCTGACATCAAAGTCACCTTTCCTTGATCCTTAACATGTCACCGTCAAATGCTTCCTCTATACCAATCCAATTTCACTGTCTGTTTGGAACAGTACAGTGTTTGAGCTGTTTTTACTCCATCTTTCTGTCTTTAATGTCAAGCCTGAGTACCTGCACAAGTTATTTTCAGCCTTGTTGCTTGACTGTCACACTGTGGAATGCAGACTTTGAAATTCAAGTTTGGATTCATGTCAGCTGGATTTCCAGGTACAAGGAGTCCTGTCATATGCTGCTGTATGGGTCCTGGTAAGGTAAAGTGCCACTGCAGTGTGCAGGTATTTGAGCTGTACTCTTTCTTCAGCAAGTATGCCATGTTTGTTAAACTCATGAATGCGCAAAGTTGTTGATTATGCTGAATGTTTTGGGAAGAATTAGGCTAACCTACCTCACTGTATTTGTGAATATTATAATCTATTTTCATTCTAAGTCCTATCCTAATGCATGAAAGACTTATGGTGTTGTCATGCTTTATTTGAGTGTGTTTGTTGCTAGTTCTGCTACCCTTTGTGGGGCCTCATTTTTAGACAATTTTTATTAGCAAATTATTCAGCCTTTAATTCATTATTAGGTACCAATAACTATAAGACTGTCACATTATTATTATTATTATTGTTGTTGTTGTTGTTGTTGTTGTTGTTGTTATTATTGTTGTTGTTCCCCTTCTTCTTCTTCTCCTCCTCCTCCTCAACAACAACATACTGAGAGAAGTAACTGAGCTGTGCAACCAGACAGATGCTTGTATTCAGACATCCAGTCCAACTAGGGAGCACTGAACCATACAACTAAATCAGAAATAACAGAATGTAATGTTTGGGTAAACAGTGCTCCATTTAACATTCAGCTTCAATGATGCTCAGTCAATAATTTTTTGGTTAATTCATCTCCATTTAAGACCTTCAACAGTTTAAGAGTTTAAATTCATTGCTCCCCAAATGAATTTTATACAGAAGTTTTATTGTATATGCTTTATGCAGTAAATAACAAAATATCCGTACATTGCCTTGGACTTAGTCATAGCGAAATCTGTCTTCTGCTCATAGGAATCTGTTGTATCAGTCTGCTTACCTTAATGAGATCATGAACCAGTGATGCCATAAACATCATGTCCAACTTGATATCTTCATTCTCCACTATATCCTGCAAACAGAATCGTCATGTCAGGTGACTGTGATCAGATGCCAGCTCAAGTACTTAGTGTGTGGGACAGACTCCACATGAAGTCATTTCCAGTTCACTCTTTTTCACGTCTAGCGTAATGCAGTACAACTGAACATCCTCTGCAGAATTTACAGCCATGCTTCAGATACAGCGGACTCATATCTACGTGCAGACTAGCTGTTTGTGAACTACCTACATGAGTTTTACAAACCCTTACATAGTGTGGAATTTGAGGTTCTCACGGTGGTGACTATGGCCTTCTAAATGTCACTATATTGTGATGCGTAGACCCACTGCCAAATAAGAGCTGTGTAAACACGAAACAATACAACAGCCGTTACTAGGGAACAGTTCTGTGGATGCATATAATAATGGAAGAGACGTTTTCTGTGCAGTCCATACTGGAAATATATAATGAGGACTAGTAGTTCAATTATGGTTGTCAGTTAAGAGCTGCATATATGAGAAGTCAAAAGCTGGTAGCTGAGGCCCGGGACAGTTTGGGAACCCAAAGGATGAGGAGCTGCTGGAAGCTGCTACCAGGCAACGGCTAATGATGACTGAGAAGACTTCATGTGTGTTGTAGATACAGTGATCTTTGGAATATATAACTCAGTGAGACTGTCATAGTTACTTGTAGTTATAAGTTGTAAGTGTCCAATAAATCCCATTACCAATCCAAACCCTCTTCATAGTCACTCTATAATGTGACAACATGTAGTCTGGTAAAATTCCCTGAAAATGGAGGCAGTATGTTCCTCTGAAATGTCAGTTCACTTCTATCAGATTACATAGGAAATATAGTCCACGATACAGTACTCTCTCCTTAGTTTCTGAGTATAGCTTCCTGTATTGATTTAAGTGTCAATCTTACATCTGTTTCAGTGAACTGTATCAGTGATGAAGTATTCCATATTCTGGAACATAACCTGCTGCAAGAACCTCAAATCCTACATGTATCAGTGATGCTACCTGCAGTAGACTGTACAGCTTCTCAAGTAGTTGCACCTTTTCAGTCTATTCTCTTACTGTTTCTAGGGCTTGCCTACTGCCTCTGCACAGGGTGTGCTTTCTTCCATTGTCTCCCTTTTCAGTGAACTGCAGTCTGAGCAGTAACTGATATTTATGTGATTTTCAGGGCTGTATGGATAGTGTCTCTTCTGATTATTGGATTACTCACTGTTTTATATTATATTATATGAGTATATATTACATTACATCAGCTATTCGTAGACTTCAAGAAAGCACATAACTCAATTATGAGGGAAGTATTGCACAATATTCTCAAAGGGGCTGTGGTACCCATGAAACTAGTTAGGCTGATTAAAATGTATTTAAATGAAATCTATAGTAAAGTCCATATAGGTGAACATTTGCCTGGTATGCTTCTTATTCATAATGATCTAAAACAAAGAAATTCTTTATTAACACTGGTTTTCAACTTTGCTTGAGAATATGCCACTAAGAATGTCCAAGAAAACCAAGTGGGGCTGAAATTAATTGGGACACATCAGATTCTGGTCTATGCTGATGTAAATCTACTAGGAGTAACACAAACACCATAAAGAAAAAGCACACAATTTCTAATTGATGCTAGTGAGCAGCATAGTCTAGAAATAAACAAAGACAAGAACTAAGTATAGGCTTATGTTCCCTGTCTTGTCACCAGAATGCAGAACAAAATCTTAACAGACAGACGGCTTACAGATCCTTTGAAAATGTAAGGTTCAAACAATTGGGAGGGGCACTAACAAATCAAATCTGATTCATGAGGAAATTATTGGCAGATCAGATTCAGGTAATGCTTGCTACCATTAAGTTCTGAAATTTCTGTTTTCTTGTCTACTGTCTAAAAACATAGAGACTAACATATACAAAACTATAAGTTTTCTTCCACTTTTCTATGGATATGAAACTTTATCTGTAATATTAGACAAGGGAACAAGGTGCTGTGGAGGATATTTGGACTGAAGAGGGATGAAATACTTGGAGGATGGAGCTTCATTACATGTACTCATCGCCAGAATCTGAATGATCACATCAAGGAGGATGAGTGGGGCAGGAAATGCAGCATGCCTGCAGGAGAGAAAGGAATGCATACAGGGTTCTTGTGGGAAAACCAAAATGAAAATGACCATCAGGAAGATCTAAACATAGGAGGGCAATATTGCAATGGTTCTTTCAGGATGGGATGGGATGGTATGGACTGGACAAATCTGGCTCAGGACAGATATCAGTGGAGGGTTCCTTTTAACACAGTGATGAACATTCTGGGCTTCATAAAATGATTGAAAATTTTTTCATAAATGAGTGAGTGGTGGTTTCTCAAGAAGTACTCAGACTCATGGACTTAGTTAGTTAGCTGCCTCTGTCTGTTACATTATATTGCATTTCTAGTACTTAAAATTTCAAACTGGTTCAAATTATTACAACTGTACTAACTGATTTACAATTATGCTTACCAATAAATGTCATAATTATTGTCCCCATTTCTGATATTTTAAAATCATAATTGAAAACAGCATTATAACTATATACATAGCATACTTAGAAGGTTTGGTGTGTTGAAAGATTCTTAAAAATACTGTGGCAACCTCTTTCTGGTCTAGCAAAAAACAACCTTTCACCTGACCCTTGGGCTATAAAGTGTGCCCATCCCTGGGCTAGTCCTTGGTCTGCCAGTGGTCACATAACTGACATGTTCATTCTTTACGATCTCACAAGAATCCACTGTCCTCCAGATTATTAATTGGAAGTTCTCTTGCAGTGTTTCCACCTGTGAAGCCTGCATACTGTTCTACTTCGAAATTCTACCTTCTTACTTGTTTCCTATTGGTGATCAAAGCTTCATCTCAGCTATTTGTTACCTACTTACATCCCACTTAGGCCACATCTGCGTTCTAGCTCCACATATGAAAATAAGTAAAAAAAGTATAATGTAATTTAACTTCCATACTTTCTGAAATTTCTCAATGGAAGATCAATTTATCACACTCAAAAATAATTACTTAACTAATTAACTCAATGGAGCTGTGTCCTTCTTGAGAAATCAACAGCTACTCCATCACTAACCAAATGCCCAGAATTTTGTGGAACCCAAAGGCATGCACAAATAATTATCATAATACTTGTAACTTACATACAGGCTGCCTTTGGCACAGTAGTCTGTGATGATGAGGACACACATAGGCTCGAGGCAAGCACCAATGAAGGAGTTAATGTTATCATGACGGATATCACGCAACACACGCATCTCCTTCATCACGTCACGAGCAATGTCCTTTTTCTTTGAGAACTTGAGTTCCTTGATGCGTACCATCACACCTTTATACTGACCAGTTGTGGCAAAAACTTGTCCCCCACAGCGCGACTCATATGATGTTGCACTCACCAAGCTGAGCTGTAACAATGCACTGGGGTAACACCTACAGCCATGCAGTTAACTACCGAAACAGTAAACTATTTTGCTCAAAGTCCAGCCATGTGCAGTCTCAGAGATGGGGTCTGAGGTGAAGATAATGTAACTGAATGTTGCAACTGAGCAGTTAGGAATTCTGGTTAATTTTTGGAGGTCATGCAGCCACACATCAACCTGCAGACCAACCATCCTGTGACTGGGATCTTTCAAGGTTTTCTGCAGCTCATACACATTAATTCTGGAATAGTATTGTAATGTGTTTGCAATCCAGAAGAGTCACTTCTATGGAAACGCTAGAATAGACCATTGCATAGGAAACAACAATTGCTCTATTGTAGTTCTAACATCGAATCTCCATGGTTACGACGAATACCCGAAGCGTTCCCAACGCAATAACAATGGGTCACTGCGTAGGAATCGCTGAACAAACAAAGCAACGTTTCCACTGCTATAACAGATAATTCATTTGCACAGCAGCGGCCAAGGGGATAAATAGCCCAGCTTCAGCGAGAAGCAGTCAGTCTTTATCCAGCCGTCTAAGAAGTGAGTCTTGGAACATCCGCCGCAGAAGACAGTTGAAGTGTTACAGTGAATAGTAATTGTGCTCGTGGCTGTAGAAGGAAAGTGTCCAATAAAGGTTCTACAGAAATTGAGACCTACGCGAATTTATTTGTAGCGTGACACGCAAAACACGCTACAGTACTTTAAATTAAGCCATGGCCAATTCTTTCAAAATCCTTCTCACTTCATCATTCACAGCTGCCCCATCCTTTGACACTATATAATATTGTTCTGTATATGCTCAAAGCAAGAACTGAGAAGCCACAGAAACAGTCACTGTTAGGTAATGCCCACAACATATGAGCACGTAACAACAGAGGAACTGTCAGAAACATGAAGTAACATGTACAGCTGTTGCTATGGAATGACTGGGTGAACACATTTCCATGGCAACAAGCTGTTGCCCAGAAATGGACATACTGCTGAGAAGTGATGTTTTCTACATGGTCCGTGCCGAGGGGTTATAAGGGCGGCAAAGTTTATAGATTAGTTCACTTGTGAGATGGTGGCAAGCTGGCAATGGCATGAGCATGGAAGTTGAAGAATCTCCACTATTAGAAGCCATTATCAGGAAACGACTAGTGGTGACTGTAACAGACTGAGAACACTAGCGTGTGTGTAACAGTGAATGGTATAGTGTGAAGATAAGTCGTGGCACTGTAATTACTGGTACTTGCGAGTTGCATATATAAGTGGTCAATAAATCCAATATGATGTGGGGATATCCCACACAGCACGCTGTTTCCACCGGTCTTTTAGACAACACTCACTCCTTAGTGAATATCGCATTGCCGGATGTCTCATTCATATTTATACAAGCACGCACTGCAAATTTCCGCTCCTCATTTTTGCTAGCCAATCAGTGCTCTGCAAATTGTTGCTCCTCAAATGCAAGTTTCGCTCCACCTACCGAGTTGGGTATAAAAAGGAGCAGCTCCAACCTGGTAGCGTCAGTCTTCAGTCAGTTCCACATCAGTCTACAAGCAGTCTACAAACAGCATACTTCGTCACCAGCGCTTGGTCTTCAGAGGCATTGGCACTTCGCTGCGCCAGGCACGACTGCCTCGGCTGTCCAGCGGTCTCACCTGACTCACTGGGTGACTCGGCCGCCTCGATTTGCTGGTGGTCATGCCTGACATACTGTGCAACTGGCATAGCTACCGCCTCTCCATCCCTGCGACCGCGCTTCGCAAGCAAATGTTTCCAGCAACTAAGCAACCTCCAGCAACAGCCGCACTGCGGCCATTCAACTGACTCAGCCGCCTCAACACACCGCAACCAGCATCCCTTTCTACCAGCGCGTGCAGCGCTACTTCACTGGCCAAACATCCCAGCAGCCAACGGTCCTTTTCAGGACCTACAAACTGTTCCAAAGAAGTGGGTTGTCATTGGAGTAACAACAAATCCCCACAATCCAAAACCCAGCTGAGTCACCCCTACACATGGCAATATAATGTAAAGTTGATAAAGTGCTGTTAAATAAGCTGAGGAGGAGGAGATGAAGAACAGATGATCTGTCAGCTACTTAAACATGTTACATACATCAAAGTGGGTAACACAGGCGTGGAGTAAACGCAAGGGAAACTCCACTAAGTCCACCAAGTGAAGTGGCTGCAGTGCTCACTTAACTGATTTGAATGTGTCATACTGGAACTAAATTTCAAACAGAACAATCACCCAAAACTACAGGAACATACAGTTCATTATGGAATATACCTAACAGTTCGGCAGTGGATGAATTAGTTATATAGGAGGGCCCACAACTCAGACCCTGATGACACTAACCTTGCTAGGGGATGAAATGATGTCATTGTTACAATAGCCATGCAAATCTTGTGGATCAATCTTCCACAACAGACCCTCTATCTCCTGCTCAATCTTCCACTTGCGGTAGATGGACAGAGTGATGACACCTGCACAGAACAGGAACACACCCAGTGTGGCTGCAGCAATCACACTTGTTTGTTGCTTGTCGCTCTGACACCGCTCATGTTCAAATCCACAGCTGGGCTCATCGTCCGGCTTGCGACCACCGGGCCAGTCGATGTGACAGTCGAAGTCTGAGTCTGAGTCTGAGTCCGAATCAGGCTTGTAAAAACAGTCTGGTTTGTATTCCTGAAAATCAACATTGTTGTTAAGCCAGCCAAACCCACACCAAACACTCAAACACCAGACTCCCCTTTTCTGAATCTCTCGCACAATGTAAATACATATAGGTAGTATAACGTTCATGTCTCTCTCCACTTCCCAGCTATGAAACTCTAAAAAATAGTTTTGATTAAATTTTTGCACTGAAGGTGCAATTTGTATCCAACTACTATAATCACTTACATCAAGACCAAATCAAATTTTACTGCTGAGTGACAAAAAATACAGACCTAAGAGATCTAAAACTTCTGACCTGCACACCTTTTCAATACTGTGAATATTTAATGGAATACAAAAATAAGTAATTCCTGCTCTGAAGAGTGTGATGACATCTAGAGCATAACTGCTTTGAAAGAACAGATTTTTATGTGCAATACATGAACACCAAGGCCAATGAGACATGCAAGATAAAAGAAAACACTTTTGCCAAAATACTGCAATTACTCATTTTATTTGTATAGGGTGCAATAATTGTTCCTCTGTCTGTAACAGGTACTATGCTATGCTGCAAGCCAGAAAGTCACAGGTTCAAATACCGATGAGGTGGACTTTTTCAATTTACGTAATCCTTCCAGCTGCACTATGGCCCTGGGGTCAACTCTGCCTCTAACAGAAATGAATACCAGGAATCTTCCTGGGTTGTAAAGGGCCGCTGGTGTGTAAGGCTGACAAGCTGACTGTCTAGAGAAAATGTGGTAGCCTCTGCGTCTCACAACTCTACAGGCCTTCACGACCTGTTACAGGGATAGCTTTGCCTTTACCTTTTACCATCTGTAACAACTTAACCACTTACGACCAGTTCTCTGTTCACTTGTTACTTCACAGCAACACACCACTGCCCACTCACGGTCAATTCCTTCTGCACTGCACTGAACTGAACACTGACTTTTGTAGATAAGTCACAGACATGGCAGGTTGAAGCAAGTATGCAGGTGACCTCAGCCTTCCTAATCAGCCAAGGAGTTTGCAAACATTCCAGACATTACAAGAGACACACACACAGGCCAGATGATACCAACCCCACTGTACTCAGCTCCCATTAAGCTTATTCATTCTCTACTGTAGCATATCTTTTCACTCATTTTTTATGTAACACTTCTCATTTTTTCTTTCTTCACTATCTGGCGAGTGTAAAGGGTCCCAAACCTCAGATCCCGTTTTTTTCCCACTGAAAACGATGACCAGGAGATGGAACTCCAGAACTATGGTGGAAAATTGGCTTTCCCCACATCCAAGTTTCTCAATTTTTGCTTTCTTCAGACATGCATGGTGAGAATGGCATGAAAAAAAAATCATACTACTCCAGTCAATCTCAAACCCAAAACTTCTGGCATGAGAGTCCAGTGTAGTGCTACTATTACTACTACTGCACTGCCAGATCCTCCTATTTACTATATAATGATATTGCTAATTCTGCATAAATCTCCAATATGAATAATAAACATCTTACCCTAGACCCACACCCAGTTATCAATTTTCTATCTAATGCTGATACAAGTAATGGTAATGTTTCCTGTTATCCATACATAGGCATCAGAACTACTTAGAGAAACTGGAATTTCCTTTAAATTTGTTCAGTAGATTTAAATATGAATGACATGGGTTGATATCTTCTACCTTTCAAGCTTTTATTTTATGCATTTTGTGCAAATAACATATAAATATTAGAGTAAGTTACAAAATACAGGAATCTGCGGGAGACATACAAACTTACAGGGTTTTCTCCCTGCTGGAAACCAGCCACTGGCCTTATGAAGTAGTCACAAGTGAAGTTGTACATTTTTGTACTGTACACATATCGGTAAGGTTTGAGTGCTGCCACAGAGAAGTTCCCCTCAGAATCCCCATTGTGGTCCATTTTGATGGATGACCCTGTGATGCCTATGAAACAAAACCATCACAAAATGTGATACATATACTTTCTGAGTTTTCTTCATGAATGGTTGATTTTATTTATGAAGGGAGATATTCAGTTCACTAGCTCATGGAATACCATTCACTTCAACAGGTGCCTTAAAGAGTAGTTTTTTACAGCTTTCTGTGCCCTTCAGCGGGTGGGTCATGAGGCTGCCTAATATCGGATGTCTGGATGAAAGGTATCCAAAATTAAAAAAAATTTATATCTCGGAAAGCAATTGTCATACATGTATCCGGTTTGTGTCATTGGAAAGGAAAACCCTGTAAGTTCTTTTTCCATGCCCGGCTTACGCACATGTGCTGCCACATTTCTGCCATGTTAGGAATCACTTGGACAGAGTGATAAGAAGTGGATCAACTGCTTGGCCTCCTAGGTCACCAGATTTAACCCCACTGAATTTTTTCTTGTAGGGTTATGTGAAGAACATTGTCTACCAGGTTAAGATCAATGACCTGCAACACCTGAAAGCCCGCATAAGGGACACTGTGGCTATGGTAACAAAAAACATGCTGGATCATCTGGATATTTGTCGTGCCACCAAGGGAACCCACACTGAAATTTACTGAGAAATTTATATGCTCAGGAAAAACTTCGATAGTTTCCCTTTGTAGTGGTGTAACCCACAAATATGTATAGTAAAAGCTTTCTGAGATATAATTATTTTATTTTGGATACCTTTCATCCGGACACCCTGTACAGATCACAAAGTGAAAGTACATTTTTTTATAATATGCTAGAATGGTCAAAAACCCATTGCATATTAAATTACATATCTCCATGCACTATGTTTCACAAAATACAATGATACCTTCCAACCGCTATACTTGTTCAAATGAAAACTTTTACCTCGATAATCCTAAGTAACAATGAATTAAAATGGCTAATAAAATTGGAGTGACAACACTTCTGTGAGGAGACAAGATACAGAAGAGGAGATTTCTGTCCTCTGTCTGTTAAAACTGCAGCAGTAAAACACTCTCCTTCACAAGGTTTTCTTGACTACTATATATTCAACATCAGAAGAAAGATAAATAATAAAAAACCATATTCAGTACGACAAGTTTAAAAGAATGTGTTATTTCATCTGTAAATAATTACATAATTATTTTAAAATTAAATTAACTGTGGGCAATATAGACTGACTCTGTGGTCTAGTGGCCAGAGCTCCTGGCTATAGATCCAGAGGTCCGGGTTCGATTCCCGGCGCTACCAGATTTTCTGAGAAGTAATGGATCTGGAACAGGGTCCACTCAGCCTCGCGAGGATAATTGAGGAGCTATGTCAAGGAAACAGAGGCTCCGATCTAGAAAACCAAAATTAATGTCCATGGGGATTCATTGTGCTGACCACGCAACACCCTCTATCTGCTAAAGTTGGCACTAAATTCGCCAACAAGCGGCGATCACTCGGTCAGTATAGCTCACTTGCGGACGAAAACCACGGAGTTTCTTTTTTTTTTTCTGTCTGCAATATATTGATATGCAGACAAATGCTTCTTGTAATTATCAGTTACAGTCCCCTTCAGGCCTATTCTGCATGCAGTGATTAGAAGCAAAACTTAAAATTCAATAATTGTGCTTGTATCTGTGCATGTGTGTGCAGAAATTTCACTTGGTTAATATTTGCTTAAGTTTTTACTTGAAGGAACCAGATTCAGTGACACTGCAGCCAAAGCTGCTGTACCAAATTTTACATATAAGGCAAATAAGCTACAGCTTATGACTCCACAATCTAAGGAATGTCCAAACACTCAGAAAAATAATGTACACTATACTGTCACGTGTATGAGTGTGACTATAAATATTATGTACACTATACTGTCACGTGTATGAGTGTGACTATAGACAGGTTCTGGATTGATGATCAGATTTCTCTCTCTCTCTGGCCCCTCCCCCACATATACATGATACATGTCCACAGTCACGTCTTCAACGCCATTACTTGGTAGCAACTCCCAAAGGCGGACATTCCCCTCCCTCTAGGTTTGCGGACTGCCCCCTGCTTCAACTACCAGCTCCTAACAGCAACAGTAAACAAAGACTGAGCACCACCAATTCTCTAACCAACTTACTACTCACTGAATGACTGACTGCAACAACTAACTGGCTCTGCTTATAACATATCAGCAGGAGCCGCATAGAAAACACTGTTTCTCTGTTGCAGTGCAATTGCTGCTGTTAAAACATGCTTGTTTGCAGAGCCATTACTTAGCAACAGCTATTCTATGGTTGCCTATTTCGCAGTCGTTGCCTAGCTATGGGTCTACATGCCACAACATAATCACAACATCCTGCTCTGAAGCTTGGAAGATAACAGAGATGATGATGATAAAGACTCTTCCAATCCATCCACCCAAACACTAAACAAATCACCACCACATAAAAATTCACTAAGCCTTTACCGTTTTGTAGGATTATTCCCCCCTCCCCCCAAAAAACAGCAAACCTGAATTTCCAAAATTTGATAACAACCTTGAAATATCATGCAATGAGTGTGTGTTGCCAATTAGAATTAATTAATATGAAAAAAGTACTTAATTTTCTGACTAGAAACCAGATATTTTGAATTGCAGAACCTCAAAATATTTAGCAGTCAGAATAATTATATCTAATTGCTAACTTCTTACTGAAAGAGGCCAATAAGTACTGTGTCTGTCCATAAGATGAACAGAGTGGGTGTCAGAGGAATACAGTTGTCCACTGTCTCTTGCTCAGAAATAATGAATGCTTTACTACTGCTGCAATGAAGTAAAAATGAGTGGGAGTTCAATGCTGATCTGCTGTTCCCAAAAAACAATGGCTATGAAGATCACTCTCTTCTGGGATGTGACACCATGCAGTCCAGTAGTAATTCACTGACACTTCCTCCACTACCTCCATCTTCAGGATTGAAGAGTACACCAGCCAAGTGACCAGAAAAAAAGAACAGTAAGCAGAGGCCATTGGTTGCCATTTATTTGCTTGGCTTACCCTTAACCTTTATCGGACAGGCCATTTAATTTCCGGTAGGGGCAGCTGGATGGAGTTTATTTAAATGCCCGGATTTCTACATTTTTTATGATAAACGAACGAAATGAACGCTCCTTTAATGTAGAAAGAATATAGAATCAGATATTCTAGTTTACAGATTTTAATATCTGTAAAAATTTTTTTACACTGATTCCCAAAAAAAATTTCCCGAAATTCATACATTTTCTGCACCATGCGTTCTAGCAGTGTAATACATTTTCTGCACCATGCGTTTTAGCAGTGTAAGTCCTTGTGGCGACTTCACATTCAATGATGTCTCTTGTTGACGCTTATTTATCGTATGGGACATATCGGTATGCACGACTGTATGCGTCTGAAATCGCTCTCTGTGTAATGTGTTAGATAAGACACAGGAGTTAATTCTCGGAATATGGTGTTGCCAGATCGGTCATTCGTTCATTCATTGCAGTCAAACCATTGTGTTTGTAACGATTTTGAAACATCGCAATATAAGGTTAGCCACCCATGACATCATGAAGCAGATATTGGGTTCAGCCAAATCATGAATGAGATTTTTGTATGTGTGGGCTCGAGGTTAAGATTTATGGCTCCTTATCGTGGTCTAAGCACAGAGATTCACTGCTAGAGAGTGTTATAGTTCACCATGGCCACACGACGTCGTCGTATGGAAGATGCTGAAATTGAAAAACAGCTGTTCAATGACACAGATTCAGACTGCTATTCAACCGATTCTGAATGTGACGAGGAAAGTTGGAGTTCTGATGCTGAAATTGAGAAACAGATTTGGACTGCTATTGAACCGATTCTGAGAGGGGCGAGGAAAGTTGGAGTTCTGATTCCGCGGACGAAGGGTCATCACCTTCGTCAGCAACTTGGGGACCGCCAGACCAGTGTGGCGGAGAGGTGTGAATAATTATTCCGGTGTAGCTGCGGGGATAAATATCACTGCAGCT